CCTCAATTTTCATTTCAAATAGATTAATTAAGTAGATCTCATATTAATAACATTTTGGCTCATTACAGTATTAACAAGAGTGCAGTCTTGTCTTTTTGCACATTATTAGACTCATTATTACATTAACCAGCACAATTAATTTAATTTCATTAAATGCCACCATTTACTTAAATTAATACATTGTACACACTGAAGCCTATTTTTTTTTTTGGTAATCCAGTTAATAATTTTAGATTTTCAGGAAAAGAAAAAAATGAGAAAAGAAGAGCTTATTATAAAGATAGCTTTTTACAGCACATCTCAATGAAGGTAAACCTGATACCTGAAGTAAAACAGCACAATTTATCAGTGCAGCTGATACTGGGATATGATCAGCTGCAATTATTGGTAGGTCATTCATTTCAATTACAATCATCGTGTTTTGCCAAAGTAACTCATGGAAAATAATTGCTTGTCAGTGCAATGAGCTGTTCATCCATCGTGCCTTGCGATGGATTCTTGTTAAAATTAAAAAAGAGAGATTCACCCGTTTTCTCTCATCCTGTCCAGCCTGTTTTTCCACCCCAATATGGTCCACGTTTCCCAGACTGCAGAGCTGTTTTCTGCAGAGATTGAAAAGCTATTTTCTTCGGCATGCTGACTGCCTTGTAGCTCATAATTACATCTGATTTAACAAAACCTAGAAATGACGATAACACGCCTATCAGTTCTGATCAAGGAGCTCAAATACATTCAGGAAAACAAAAAACACACCATTGAAAGGAGCCGTTTTACATTCAGGACCAAAGCCAAAGGCAGCTTATCTTACTGGGCTCTCTTGTATAAAGGGCCTTGGGGAATTATCTAGCTAGTTTTCAGTCTTTAAATACTAGGACAGTAAGATCCTGCTTTGGAGAGCTGATAACTAGTTAACCACATTGTGACAACCTAGGTGCTTTGAGAACAAGGCATTTCTGAAATTCATTAGCAATGCGCGTGTGAGCGAGACATGTTTTTACAGTTCATTTACTATTATGAATGCAAGTCACCATGAATAAAGGTGTCAGTTAAATAAATTATTAACAGTAACAAAAAGAAAAAATGGGCTGTGACAAGCTTTGTACTCATTTTTAAGGATTTATATGTCATAAGAATGGAAGGTGGTGTTTGCTTTGGCACAATTGCTATCTTAGACATTTAATATACTTTATATATTTCCCTAAAGCAAACAAAACTATTCCTCATTAGTATATTTTTGAAATTCCAGGGGTACATACTGAGAAGCTCTGGTTTACTAAACCTTCAAAAAATCCAGTTAAGATATTTTTGCATTTTTATCACCTTTTTTTTTTTATAAATCCTCTCAATTTAGAACTGCTAATGTGTGGCTCTTGAAGCGATGCGGATATGATCCTCTGAGATGCTTGCCTGCAGAGACATCCATCATTTGTGGAGTGTGTCTACTGCACACTCTACAGCACCTGCCAGGAGGACCAGCTGACTGACAGAATGACGCATCACTCACCTGTACCATTGCAAGCCTGCAGAACCCAGCAAGACACTGGAGTCACTCTCTGATACACAACCAAGACAAACCTGCCTGGCTAACCCCAGTACTATTCTATCGGTGCTCTGCTGTTGGGGGAAAACCCAATCTTGGCCAGCTAGTGACACGATCTAGTCTTGACCTAGTGATGCCTGGATGATGGAGCTGAACCTGTGCTCTCAGTAAATGCCTTGTGGGAGTGTTTTCCAAGCAGAGGGAGATAAGCCCTCTTAAAGCTTAGAGGAGAATTAAGACCTTCCTTGTGGTGGTTGTGTTGGCAGGTTCCAGTGCCATTAATTAGGGACAACCAGTCACTGCAGTGCAGGGAGAAAAGATAAGCAATGATAAAGATTTAGTGCTCAATCCTAAACTGAATGGTGACAGGATTTGCTGTGGGAGGACCACTGCTATTTCTGAGCAGCATCCAGCTGTTAGAAAATCCAACTCCAGTGGACATGAGGAGCAATACTTTTAAAATCTTTTCCAATTCTTTTTTAAGGCTATGTTTATGGGACAATCTCCGATCTACTACAAAAAGGACACAGTGAGGGAGAAAGCGCTGGAAGTTCACTCTCTACAGACTGTGTTGCCAAAGCAAGTAGATGCAATGTGCCGAGAGTTTAGCCTGACAAGTCTAAGGATACGTTTGCTGATTTCATTTTGCTTACCCAACGCATTTGCAATATGAAAAGTTTTCCCTTTTCATGGATCTTAGATTGCTTTAATTCTGCAAAACCAATTAAAACAATTTGTAACAACATTCAAGTTCCTTTTCAAACTGATCTGTCATCTGTAACAACCAGTGCAAGCTTGATTTCCTTGTAATTATTTCAGATAAATTTCACTTAACAATATTGTCCTTTGTAAAAAAAAAACATGGAAGTAATTAGCCTGTTATTCCATCCAAAGTTATCGTAACCTCATGTGCTCGAATGGCATTACCTTTCAGAGCACTTGAAGGCCACACAAGGGCCTTATTTTGTCCACTTTTTTGAACACATTAGAAAGGCAATTTCAGCCCATGTCTTATGAATGCTGGGATTTTAATGACAGTGCTTTGCAAGCCTGGGAGATTTTAAAATGTTTACAGAACTGACAAATCTCCTCAGCCGATCAAGTGTACAAGTTTCAGATCATGCCGTGTACAAACCTGGTCACCGTTCTGCTCGTCTATGGCACTAATTGGAAGCAGCAGGAGGCAGCAAAAGCTTATTCGCACATAAAGTACCCTGCTTTCAAAGTACCCAGGGCTTAAACTGAAGGTTGCACTTTGGCTCCATAATAGCCAAAAACATAGCAGATCTGTTCAACCTATACCAGTACTACAAAGCAAAACAAATTTCTATTTACCTCATTCTGAGCTCCTCAGTGGCTCACCTTGTAAACAGGCCTGTTCCAAGTACAGCTTGAGCACTACAGTGCAGACATCGCCACTTTGTGATGGGGGCTATGTCACCAGCCAGTCAAAACTGGGACTCTTCTGGCGGCGGCACATCACTGAGCAAGTACCACCAGGGCAAGGTGGGACTGAATTGTCCAGGGTACCTTGGCTTGCCACGAAGAGCAGATCTGTACCCAGCTCAACAGTGTTGTCAGTGAGGGCCAAGGGGTGACTCCAGACAACAGTGCCAGGCTTACTGTGGGACTCTGTCTGCAGGAGAGCATGCTTGGTCAACACTGTCACTGTCCCAGTACAAGATACATAGCAGCAAGCGAAATTCTGTAACAAGTGGGCATCCAAACAAGAAAGGGTTGCACAAAGATAAGAGGTAGCTTATTTTACAAAAGAGGGAAGTTTATTTTTATTTATTTTTAAAAATAGAAAAACAGGCTAAAACCAGAAATAAAAAAAGGGAAATGGGCAAAAAAAAAAAACAAGTGCTTCTATCAGATCACTTTTCTTCCTGTGTTTTCACACCAATAGCTTAAACCTTGCAGCTGACATCCAAGTGTTTATTCTAAGACCAAAGAGTCCATTGAGAGGAAGTTAAAGCCCTGGGCATCAATGCAAGACTCCTGCAGGGTCCAGACTTTATTAGGATCTCTGACTCCACTCCAAGCAATTAATCAATTAAATCTATAGTGAAAGATTCATACACACTTTGCATGCTAATTACCATTAACTGACTTACTGGCAACTTTAACATTAAAAAACATGGTATTCCACAGAACATGCACTTATTACAATGTCAGACAGGAAAAAGTCTTGTAAAAGCTGCAATTTGAAATTGAAAAGGGTGCAGTCATAAATATTTTTTCCTCATTTTAGAAATAAGACATGATTTTTTTATGGCACATTTTGGTAAGCATGTCTCACTTCTCAGTAAGTTTAAATAAAATATTTTTAAGAGACTGAAAGAATGCAGCTGGAGAAATTAGGTTATCCAATCATGTCATTAAACCAAGATCTATTTTCCAGAGAGGAATGTCTGTGATGTTAACTTGCTAGACAAGCATCAGGTCTGTTCCTGCAAAATGAATACCACTGCACCTCAGAAAAATGCCCTGTTTTATTTCAGCTTTCTAAAAGGGAAGTTCAGTAGAACTGACTTTTCACTTTCTAAGAATAAAACAGCAGGGCGTCTTCACTCTCCAACAAGTGACTTGAAAACCTTGGTTTCAAGTGCCATTGTAAAGCCTTAATGTCAGGCCAGGCCATTGAGAAAGTATTATAAAACACTGACAAGTACAATAAATCATTCCAAAGCAATGTAAGGACTTAAAGTACAAAAACACTAAAAAAACAGAGTAACTACAGAAAATAAATTGTCGTGTCTCTTATTTTAACACCAAATATTCCCTTAGTACATAAAATGTTATATCAGATTGCAAACTATGACCTTATAAACCCAAACTGTACCTTTTTGGTTTTTATTTAGTTAACAAGTTAACATCTAATTTTCTGTAGGACGTGCATTTTAATAAAAAAATGTGCAATTCACTGTTTTCATATGAGCCTTTTTGGTTTTATTGTTTACTCGTGTCGTGAACAACGTTTCAGTAACAACGGCAATGCTGAGTTAAGGTCGCCATCTAGTGGAGAATGTTAAAACGACAATAGCTCACAATACCCGACTGGAAACGCTGTAAAAATGCAGGAGGGTCAAGATGGCGAGCATGCCTGGGTTACCCCCCTACTCTTTTCGAGAAACCCCCTGGGCTGTAGCTGTAATTTTAAGAACACAAGCAATCAAGTTATTCTATTCCAATCACGTTATTCTTAATCTAAGGTCCATTAATTGTATTACAAAGGACTTCAGACACAAATGAATTGTTCAACCAGTACCTCAGCTCTTGAATAGACATTAGTTAATTGATTTGAAGTGTAATTAAGCTCTACCGTCAAAGACACACTGTATCCTTAAGTATAGCAAGGAAAACAAAGCTACAAAGCATGATGAAGTGTAACCTGATGACCAAGACAGGAAAATGAAACTTGAATAAGTGAGACAGAAGTAACCAATCACAAATTCCATTAAGATGATAAAATATTTTATTAAAGGGAACATTCCTGATCATGTCTTTACAATCTGCAACAATAGGGGGCAAAAAATAGAATTTCTTCCTTTTCATTTCGTGCGAGTTGCGTAAGTAAGAGGTATTGGGCAAGTGCATGGCTTTGTAAGGTGTATGGCAGCTGGTATTGTAGATAAAACCTACAGAAGTATCATGACATTATTCCTTGAACAGCACTCCATGCAAACTTACGGTTTGCTCAAGCAGACATTTTCTCCACATTCCCATGTCTTGATTCTGAGATATAAGCAGAAATCATTTTTTTGTGTTGAGCACAAATCACTGAGACAACAGTTACAATCCTTCTGATGCAAAATATAATATGAGTAAGAAAAGGGGTTAAGTGCTTTGGAAATGCTTGCTGTTAGTTGGGACTACCATTGGAAAAGTAAAAACTAGATTAAAATGTTAGATCATATCAATCTTATTCTTCTTCAGGGTATATGGCTGTTTACATCATTTTATACTTAAATATTACAATAAGCAGTAATCTGAAATCTACCTACAATTGTATCACTCATGAAGTAGAGAAAATAAAATAAACTTATTAAATTGAACAAAAGAGAGATATTTTCCAGTATCAAAAGATGAGTTTAATGTCTTCCTGTGATCTGTATTTTCTAGAGACCATGTCAACGTTAAGTCTTCAGACTTTCATTCAATTTTTAATTTCATTCACACCCCAAATACCACAGTAGTTGCAGAAACTTCAAAATCATGAGAAGTCTTTACGTTTTGTAGTCACATATGTGAAACAAAACAGAGCACCGAACAGCTTCCAAAATCCAATCAGGAAATGAAAAACCTGTCTCCTTGTCAAGAAGTGATACAGATGGTTATCTTCAGAGATCTGCTCAGAGTGCTGTCCATCTGTGTGCCACAGAGCAAAATGTTATTAAAAAAATATCTACAAAATTCCCAACAAGCCCACACTTTTCTTTTTGGAAACCAGACTTCTCTATTCCACTACAGGTCTCTGTTACAAGCACAGTTGATCAATCCCAAAAAAAATCCAGTGCCGTCAGGAATCCATAACTCACCGATATGCCCAACATCCTGGCTCGACTCTCTTGTTGGGCTGTCCCAGACGGTAGCCTTATTCTGGAGCCACTCCTTCTGGCAGCTCTACAACCACAGGGGCACATTCCTCGGGGTCTATCTCAAAATCCCACCGGAACTTCTTGGTCAGGTAGACTTTGAACTTTTCAGCCCGTTTCCGAAGACCACTGTCCACACCAGGCCCACTCGTGAACAAAAAGAACTCCTGGGCAAGAGTAAAATCAGAGATCAGTGCAGAACATGCAGATGGGCCACATGACCACCTCTCGTTTATTACCACCCTCGTATTCTCCTGGCTGGTGTTATAACCACCCTCGTATTCTCCTGGCTGGTGTACGGCAAAAAACAAAAGAAGAACATGATTTTGTTTTAAATGAAAAACGTCTGACTAAGCTTCTTTCTGTACTCTTCCCTAGCTACTCTTTTATGTATAACTCTCAGATACTGTGAGTCCCCAGATAAACTGGTAGATCAAACACGATCTCAATTTTCAACAGAAAAAAAAAACTCGGAAGAGAAGACAACTTACCATGGTAAAACTTGGGGTGACAAACAGCTTAGATAATGAAAATCTATAAGAGCCCCGATTATGGCCTAAATGAAGCGCTAGATCACGCAGGACTTTAACCCTTCTTTTACTATTCATATTCTGGATTTGGAGTCTTCCTACGCTGCACAGCACTGAGGCAGCAAGACCAGCTTTGTGAAGAGAACCAAACAACCTACCTGCAAGGTGGAAGTGAGAAAGTTGTCTTTGGATACGATGTCTACAAAGAAATCGGGGGGAATCTCTCCCAGCTGGTGGTAGAGAACAGGGATGAGGTGGAGGTACAGGTTCCGGTGGTTGAGTATAGCCTCTTCAGAGCGGCATAGCAGGTTCAGAAGACATTTCCAGTGCTCAAAGCTCTCATACACATTCCCAATCAGGAAACACACAAATGCAAACTGCAACTCCCCTGGACAGCAAAACAGAAAAAAAAAAAAAAGAGAGAAGGAGGAGAGGAAAGGTCATTTACTTACAAACTGCATCAAAAGCAAAAGCTTATTGGAATCCTGAAAACTGAAGTTTGTTAGAATTACACTGAAATGAATGGCATTCAACTACACAGGCTAGTAGTCATCTCCTGATTTACTGTATGTGTTCAGAAAATAAAAAAGGCTGGCATTTTATAGCATCAATCAATGCAAGGAACTGTAAAGGCTTTGAATTGTGTCAGAGTGTGTTTTTTCAGTCCAGAACTCACCCAGCACTTGCAGTGGCTCGTCTTTGTAGTAGCGTTCTAGTAAGCTGTTGAGGGCATAACTGAGGTCCATACTGTACTGGGTGATTTGGGCAGGTGTGGCCCCCTCAGGGTAGGTCTGTTTGGGGATCTCTGAGAAGCGCAGCTCTGTGCCGGCTCTCAGCTTCATCTTAGGCAGCCTGTCCAAACCCTCCTGCATGCTCTGGCACTGGATGTCGTACCGTGGGAGGTTCTGCTGGACCCGATCTTCCGTGTGAGGCAACGACAGTTCCGGTACCACATCGCTGAAGGCACAGATCTTGCCATTCAGGGGCTGCAGGCGTTGTGCAACCTCCTGGGTGACGCGGTCCGTCAGGGAGACCCACTTCCGAAGCATGTCGTAGGGGTACGGTCCCAGAAAGCGGTCCAGATCGCGCAGCCCAGCCCGCACCCGGGCCACTTCCTCCTCGTTCTGGGAGGCGGAGAAGTCCAGGTCCTCTTGCTGGCTGTCCCAGTGAGCCAGCAGGACGTCTCGGGCTTTGAGAGAGAGGAAGACCCCAGTCCGAGGCCCAGTCTCCCCTCCTTGCTCCGGCTTGTTGGAAGCGCTGTAGTGCAGGAAGTGCAGGCCCGGTGGGATCATCTTGACCCCTCGGAACCTGGGACCCACCTGCCAGGTCTTGTAATCGATCCCCAGCTCCGACCCCTCGGGCACCCCCAACAAAACCAGTGTGGCCCCCTCCTCAAACAGACTGCAGGCCAGTTCAGGATCCATGTCCATGCTGGCCATATCTACTAGAAAGAGCACAAAACTGACAATTAAACACTTACATGGACCACAGCAAGACATCAAATAAAATAACCTAGGAGCTAAGGTTTTAATAAAGCAAAACATTGTGACATTTCTGAAACAAAAGGACCTAGGTATGGCTCCTCCATAATACTCGACAAGGCTTCTGCAACTACAATTCGCACCTAAAATAGTCAACTTATCTACAATGGAAAAAAAAACGACAATTCACTTTTAAATTAAGTCGTTCTTGTGGCTCCAGACAGCGTGAGAATGAAATGTCAAGATCAGTTTACCCGGTATTTTACATTAAAAAGTGCTAAGAATGATCTATACTATCAGTCACAATCACTAACCCCAACTTAGAAAAACAAAGATGTTTTCCCATAGTCGTATAATTCCTTTAGCACAAAGATGCAAGTATAAAATTACGAAAAAAAAACTGTGTTGAAACGTTTCGTTTTAAAAAAATCTTTCTAATTAACTGCGACTTCAACAATACGATTTCTTGGCACTGTACCGTAATTTTCTAGCCAGCAAAACGTTACCTTTGAGGGCCTAATATATATTTAGTCAATATATAATGAAGTCACCTGAACGATCACGGAGCGTAGCTCTGTAGCATAGCAGACAAAACTCCACGTTCCTGAACGTAAACGCGTAGCAACGTATTGTGTACCAGAGAGCTCACTTCCGGTCCTTTTTTGTTAAGGAACCAAAAACCAATTAGAAAAAAGGTTCCGATTATACAATATAAACATTTTAAGAATCTCCATAGAAAATTAATCCTTAATAGGTATTGGCCTCATTATGGAGCAGGTATGGCACCATTGGAAAAACTTCCCTATAGAAATCTGTAAAAAAAAAACATAATAAAGTAAAATTACGATATTTAAACAATCTGATATAAAAACAATATGTATTTTAGTCTTTAAAATAATAGTAATATTATTCTCGGGGGGAAAATACTAACACAAAAGAACTTAGGGCAATAGTAGATGCCTCAATGCAGGGATAAAAAAAACATTCCACAGCTCTTGAGGAGTTATTTGTTAAATTGGACCAATTTACAAACTTCTCCCTGCTCTTCAAATTCCGGCTCTCTAATTAGACATATAAAACCTATGTTCAGACTGGCCAACCAGGACTAGGTTTAGTCCACTGTGCTATAATTCAAAATGACTACACACCTATAGGGCCAAGCTGAATTCAATTGTTGTTCTAATCTTTATTTTAGCATGTAATATTAACTACCTTGAAATAATATTCAGTGAATTGAGGTGTTTTTAATCTAAATCCACAGTGTATTACAAGACATGAAATAAAATCACAAAGCTAATCAAATAAAGTAGGATTAAAATACTTCATATACAGTAAATGTAATAACAATAATTCATAGGAAGAAAAGACATGGTTTATTTAAACCGATCTATAAACTGCAGTCTTGTGCACGTCATGAAACAGATGAAAGATGGCCATCATTGAAGTTTTGAACACAGAAACATCCAAATATACAACAACATGCATTTTCTGTTTTCTTTTATTGACCTCACTCTATTTGCACCTTAGTCACAAACTATCTTATAAAGGTTATACAATCTTTTACAATATCCATTTAAATCAAGCTTCTAACTCTCAAGCATATGATAGCATTGCATTTCAATAAAAGCACCAAATGGAGAGCTCGAATCTTTTCCCTTCATTGACCTCAAAGTACTGAAGAAAGAGCTGCACGCGTGACGTCACCATGGGAACGGCACCATCTTGGATACCAACTGAACGTCAACACCTTGAAGGTCATTCTGTTAATCAGCTAACTTGACTCATAACAACCCTATAGTCATATAAACATTTTCTTCAGCTAATATATTTTTGGATGGATCTTGGAGACAAAATCAATACCCACAATAGAACATACAGGCAATATAGTATGTAAATACAGTACAAAGGACCAGCTATACAGGCAATATAGTATGTAAATACAGTACATGTTAACAATATAACTTTACGTTAGCCATACAGATTAAACAGCATTTTTAAATGTCTACAATAATAAATGCATTATAGCTTAAAAAGATCTTCTTAGACCATATTAATAACAAGATATGCTATTTTATAGCATCATTTATGACACCATGCTGATATTGTAAGACAGGCACATCTCAGAATTAATTAGAATATTGTGATGGTGAACAACATCAACTAAAAACAAAGAATCTATCTCTTGGAAAACATATAATTACAAACATAAATAAAAAAATAATATTCTTGTTCTTATAACTAGCATAGGTTTAGGTTAAGGGGATACATGTTAATAAATAGTACAACCTACTAAACAAAAAAATAAAACAGAAGTTGAAAAGTCTTTTATATTTTAATTTTTAAATGATTAAATGAAAAATGATGCATTTAATACATCTAACTCTCAAAGTCCCAGTATCTATACAGCATACTGTATGTGAGTATGGTACATTTCTATGAATATGTAAGTGTCTTTCCAAATATTTCTTCTTAAAGTATTTATAAAAGCTCTCACATTAGGTGTGGCAAAAGCTTATATTTTGTACAGTTTTTGACTGTAACTGCTAAAATCTTTATTGATTATTTACAAATCCCTTAACAGTTCTTTCCTTTAGTGTGTATTCCTCCTAGTTTATGTCTTTCTTTTTGGTTTTGGAGAATACATGATTTGTAACTTCTTCCAACACAATATTAAGGCCTCGATAATCTTCTTTTTCTTTTTTTTCCTTCTTTTCCCTCCTAAACCTTTACTATTTGTGCATACTGGGTCACCTTCTGATCTTCTTATCTGAAAAACAAAATACCAAAGCATATATTCCTTGTTAACCTCTTGGAGAAAAAAATCATTTCTTTTGAAGCATCACCAGGTGAGAATTTGTGTTGTGTACATGCGCTATTCAAAACTGTGGAAGCACAGCGAACAATGATGTTGGGGAAAAGGAGAATATTGTTCTCTCTTTTTCACTACAGTCCCTAGATTCACTTCTATCTTCACATCCCTGAGCAGAAATTCATTATCACAGACTTTTGTTCCTTCTGAAATCACCAGCAGTTTCAGAACCTACTGTACATGAGGATTAAAATCTCCAAATTGATTCCTTAATCAATAAGAATAAGCCTTAAGTGAGTTACTTAAATTCTTTTCCTGAAGTCTGTTGATGATTAAAATAAACTTATAAGTCTGTTGATGATTATAATAAACTCATAATATCTGCTGGACTTAAGCCCTCTTCTAAAGTGTTATATCACAGTAACTTACCAGGTCAGCATAATTGCAGTTTTGTTTAATAACCATTTCCATTCTTTTCACAGGGTTACCTAGGTTATTTGATCCTTTACCTTTGACTTGACATTTAAAAAACTGTGTCATATTGTAGATAGACTGCAGGATATGGTGTACCTAAAATAATCAAAATAAAATTTCAGGGTTTGAAACAAAGCACTGGCAGAGCAATTAGTTGAATTCAGATATTAAGCTAGAAGGCTATTTAGCAGATAATTCAGACTTTGCATCCTATTCCAAGACATGCTTCCTCGTAAGTGTCCAAAAGCATAATGAAAAAAAAACTTCCCTTTTAATTAACTTCATGTTTCTCTAAACCTATGGAGTATCATATTTACAAAAGATTTACAGCCCAATCATCAATCTTCAAATGAAAAGTACTCAGTTCCAGCACAAATTATACTCTGCTGTATCATCATGCACTGTTGCCTAGCCATGAAAAAACTGATTATGGGGTGGCAGTATACAACTTACTGCTTGAAAATCGTGAAATTGTTCTCCACGTTTTCTCTTATAATTTCTCCTCTGACTATCAGAAATCCCCATGCTTAGCTCAATGAGTAACTTGATGGACTAGTTTTTTTTGAGAACTCCTAGTGGTTTGACTGACATAAGACCAACACCTTTCACAATTCCCTTGACCCCAATGGCACTGAAACACGAAAAAAATAAATCTGCCGTGTGCTGTCCTTGGTGCTGAATACCTCTCTTGTAAGGGAGAATGGTATTGAACTGTTTTCTTTCTGACCTGCCTCCTGATCTGAATAAAGGTTTTTGTTACAGAATCAATGCATTTTATGTGACAATATGCTTAGAAATTAAAACTTACTGACTTTTCCTGACAATTGTTCAACAACGGGCTTACTGTGGCTTCATAGAACATTGTTCTACTTGTCATGGTGCATGCAAAACAGGACTAGGATGTGACATCTTGGAAAAGGAATTAAAAACTGAGTTATATTGCTCAGAATACTGTCTTCTATTGTTCTTATACTCTACGGATAGAAACCGGTGCCCTACAGAAATAATTATGTTCACTCATGTATTTTAAGATAGTGTATACAGCCTCCCTTGGGAATTCTGAGATTTATTTTTTTCTGTATTCTTTGTTTTCCTCCTGTTCTAAAGAATATACGAGAATATTACATACTGTAACTATAACGATATGCATTAATTAACTTTAATAGAGTACTAGGTACTGCAAATACACAATAGACCAGTCTAGATTCTGTTGTTTACATTTTAATTAAATAGATTTGTTAATTGTTTTTCTAAGATAACAATACAGTTAGCGTAAGTCATGTAACTTCCTACAGTTGTCAGTCTAATAGAATTTGGAATTTAATTTGAGTTACGATTGATAGCAGTAGTGTATTATGAATCTTTACAAATCTCCATTCACAAATTATACTCTTGATTTTAAGTCATGCAAGAAAGGCAAAACATACAACTGAGCTTTGTCCGAGTAATCACTATCATCCATGCTCTCAGCATGAACGAAGGTGATTTAGATTTTGTCTAGTGTATATATACATTTAAAGATCCTTGGAGTTTTACATACTATACCAGAATACCAGACACATACAGTATACATGTATACTGTACAGGACATACACACATCAGGTAAAGTACACACAAGTTACATTAGTGGAACTAAAATGGCTAAACTCTAAATCATACCTTTCCAGAGGGGCAATGGTCTCTTAAATTTTTATTTTCACTTGATGTGTCATAAGGACCTGTGAGGTTCTAAAAAAGAAGAATATTGATCAGTCCACAACAGCAATTAATTTAGGTTGAATCGCTACAAGATCTCCCAAACCACAAGAGGGCAGTAACTCACTGACTCTGACAATGTTTCGCATTGAGAAAGGCTGTTGCCTTTTAGTATTTTAAAATAACTCCCGTAAAAGTCAGGCAAATAACATCATGAATGCACAGACAACATACCCACATACAGTATAAATCCAACACACACTCAAACATATATAAAGATGAAGTTAAATAGTATCATCAGCTGAAGAGGGACTTCTGTCCACAATGACGTGTACCTACAGTATATTCTGTAAAATTATTTTAACCATTAAACCTTGTAGTTGGACACTACACGAAAGCTTTTTTGATTTATTGAGCTCCTCATTTTGCAATAGTTCCTGTTTCATTACAAACACATACATAACAAGTACATACCAGGCTTTGGAGTTCTGTGAGGATTAGTTCTTTGTAAGCGATGAGGATCTCTTGATAGTTGCACCTCTGTCTACTGTTTGAGATGTCCGAAAACAATACCGTTACCACTAAAATACAAATCAGAGTCCTGGAGACACACTAAAAAAGAGAAATAAGATTAACAAACTCAACTGTCTCTTCTCTTATTACTATTGAAACGTCTTACAGCCGTAAAGAAGCGTTTTGTCCGAGCTTGTGAACGTCTGGCTTAATGAACAGCTGTCTTCGACAGTGTGTTTGGAAATATTCATATTAAGTATATATATATATTCATTAAGCAGTGGCAAAGAGGTATCCAGTAGTCAAGTCAATTACTAAACTATGAAACCTTAAACGGAGAAAACGTACTTCAAAAAGCATTTGTGGGAATTACTGTACTTTTGAACTGGTACTCATTCACTGGGTTCCAGAATGCAATATTACAAACCCGTGACTAATGTGAACACCTTTAAACCCGTTTATCTATATCCGTTTACCGAGTTCGTGTCACAAACCGCATTAGACCCCAATCACTCACACACACGACACAGATATGCGCAGTTCGATAAAGAAGCGTTGTCAAAAGCGATCTCTTACCTACCATTTATCATTGTCTACTGGATGATCCTCAGATTTTTGAAACCCATTTGTCAGGCAACCACAGCAACAGAAGTTTCTCATGGTCAAACTGCGATTGCATCTACCGCGTTTCAGACATGCACTCCCTTTATTCCTCGAAGGTCCCCGAAATGCAGTTTTGGGCGACGCTCGGAAATATCACTGAGTTTATTCTTACTTAAATTCTTTAAAATTAAAGTCGGCGTGTCTCTGGCCGGACGTGCAATGAAGTGGACTTTGTGCCATGGCATGCAACTGAATTCAACCCCTAAGCTCAAATTTCGTACCCCGTCATTTACTGTTGGTGGTGGGCTTCTCTTTTCACGTAAATCTAGTCTGATCAAGTCTTGAAAACTTCCGCGATCAATCACCATGCTTTCAGTTTCGTTAAACAAGAAAAACAAATCGTGTTAACATTAATTTTTTGTCTGTAGAGTAACGAGATAGCAGGTACCATGGCTGTAACGATACCTAGTTAAACTGCCCCTTATTTGACACAATGGAGAAGAGACCAGCTGATCGCTTTTCGTGTGCCGCAGGTCGTTTCCACACTTTTGATATGGGTAAAACTGCTGGTTCAGTTCACGTTTTCACACATTTAACCCTATTACACCCACAGCATTAGGCACTCTTAAATATCATTATCTTTAAAACATAAATCTCCAAGTTACCATAGCAATGTTAGGTAGGGGGTATTGTATGTTACGCACTCCAAATACATTAATTGAATTCGTCAATACGTGTTTTTTTTTTTTAGATTATACAAATCGTACGATTCCTAGACATTTACACCGCACGAAAGGATTTCCTGCGATTTTCTTTTCAAGAAAGAAAATTGGTGGTTTGACTTGAGTTTCCCGGGACAAGTGCTTTGCACCTAAAGGAGCAGCTTCACAGAACGCAGAATCAAGTTATCCGTTTAAAAAACTGCAAACGTCTTTGGTTTGTAACCAATTTATAAAATGTGACAATAAATGCGAACGGCAAAACAAGGTCTTTTGTTTCATTCTTATGTGTCAGCATGTGAAAAGACAGATTATTTCAGGATGATATTACAGATGATATTCTGTTTGACAAGGGACATATAATTGTAGCTTTGTCGAATGCCTCATCAATAAGCCCAGATGCTGTTCCTTGCCGTTTATTTCTACTATGGTATGTGTTTTTCACAAAAAATAAAAGCCAACCACACAAAGGAAATCCCCGAGAAGCAATCATACAGTTGCATCAACGTCGAGGGAATAGTGAGTGATCCATGTTTATTCTGCCAAGATTACTTGCGGCTTTGCGTCTCTGGAACGGTTTTCAATTTAGATTGATACATTTTTTCAGGCTTTATTTCATCCGCCTCAATTCTTTTGCTAACGTATAAATTACCTACTTGCCGGAACCCCTAATATTTAACAGATATCAACTAACAGGTTCTTAATTTACACATAGATGTAGGTCTGCTGGCAGTGATTTAATTTGTATCCCAAAGAGTGAAGTAAAAGAAAACTTTATTATACTGTATTGAGACTGCGGAATTCATAGCCATGCCCTATTTAAAATCCCTTTTACAAAATTGCTTTTAAAACCAGACTTTTCACACTCGTTCTCATTCATATCAATGTTAGCTTGGTCATTTTAGCTCGCGTTATTTACCCTTTTTTCCATTTGAAATATATTTGTAAGGGGCTGAGTCTGAAAGGTGTTATAATAATAATGTTATTTATTGTGTAAAGAATATTACTTTAAAACCCAAACAAACAAGAAGATTATTTTTTATTTTATCTCCAAATTTGTATCCACAATATTTTGTAGGGACAAAATATTATGACACAATTATGTAGGGACATTTGTTAATAGTAGTTTTATTAATCCATTTTCCTTTAATTAAAAAGATTAATGGAAAAATAACTTACAAGTAAAGGTCAGCTTCATACATTTACAGTTACCATTCAGTTTTCTCCCTTTTCAACAAAGTAAGCAAGTCAGGACACTTTTACATACAGTAGGAGGCAGTTACAATTACTGCCAAGCTCACTGTTGACCAAAAATATATCACTCAAAGGCTTCCCGAGGTAAATGCATTGTCGCACTACATAGGATACAGTCACAGTTTAAAATAAATCCAGCACTTTCAAACTGTAGTCTATGTCCCAGATCCAAAATAAAACAGAAAAAGAAATAAAATCTGTATATAAACCCCAAAGGTCGCACAATATTTACAAAGAGGAATTATTACATAAATATATTTTGTCAGGCCAAAAGATGCTTCAGTTCAGCGACACTAGATAGGACATCAATCCTTTGCTGAAGAAAAAACCAGGGGAGGTCGAAGGGTGATAAGTAGGAAACAGCACTTATAGTAATCATTCCTTAAAAGACAAAACAATACAACTTTTCACTTTTTTTATAGATGCATTTGTTGTTTTTTTAAAAAAACACACAGTGTGTAGTTTACATTTGCATGACAGGAAACGGATTTTCAGAGTTTGGGCATGCTCCGTTTGCTACACCTATGGGAAAGCATTCGGTTCTATATAAACAGAGTCGGTGCGCGCGATTTAAAAGGTGTTTTTGATCTTTGCAGCTACAAGGACCAGAATCTCCCCGATCTTCTTCTGCCAGTTGTGAATGTGCTTGGACTCGGCGCACCACAGCTCTCCGTGTCGCGGCTCGGCGTTCTCGCACCGCCTCTTGACTTCCTCCTGCTGCTCCTGGTGATCACAGAGAGACGAGACATTGTGCTTCCAGATCTTCATCGGGAAACACCAAAGACACCCCACAAGAAGGAGACGGACGCTGACAGTTGCTATGGGCTTACTGGAGCCTCTCATAATATCGTACTCACAAGGATAATCAGATTATGATGCAGGAAGGGGCCTCCTGTGTGACACAACTAGTAAAGTCGCCTGCCGGAGAGGGCGTTCAGCTCTATGATCACGGGTCCGAGCCCAGGTAATGTCACTAGTCCACTGTGACCGGGATTCTGCAAGCACTGGTGCACAACACACTGAACCGGAGTGTGGGGTGGGATTAGTCAAGACAGAGCTCCATTGGCTTTCAGCAAGCCCTGTGGCCTAGTGGGTGCCTGCAGGCATGCAGCACTGTCACTGAACATGGCTCTGCCCCAGTCAATGCTGAATCTTCGCTGGTGCCTTTATTAAAAACTGACTGGCTCAAACGTAGGCAGGACAGAAGCGTATATATACTTCCTTGCTCTCCACTGCATGCCGTCACAGCATTTGGAATTGTGAGCTGAGACACTATGAAAATTAGCTGGGTAAAACAAAAACAACTTGCAATTCTGAATTTTAAATAAATAGTTGGGGCGGGGGTGGGGGGGGATATGTCACATTTCTAAAGTGTGCCACAATATAAAGACATATTGCTGTTTGATGATGACTGTGTGTTTTTATCTGCTTGGGTGAAACACGTTCCTCTTGAAGATGGATTACATGTTAGCCCTTACCTCTGTTCCATGTTGGATTTCGAACTTATAGAACAGAGCCCAGGCATCCCCTAGGTCAGGCTCGATTTTCACGGTCCTGAGGAACCACTCGCGGGCCTTGGTTATTTTCCTTTCACTCCAGAACAACCTACAACAGCAAAAAAAAAAGATATGCACTTTAGCTTCCTGGGAATTGTGTTTTTTTACATTTTTGTACTTCTTCTTTCAAGATCAATGCCTGGTAAGCTAAAGTCATATGCACAGCATAAATGTAGTTAGGTATTCTTTAACAGCCACAACAGAAAACAGCCATTAAACAGCTTTAGAATTAAGACCTCTTTATTCCAGTGAATAACTTTAGTTTTTTTTCCACCTGTTGTTACAAACAAATCGGATCTTTCATGGTTATGCCTACTATGTAACTAGAGAGGTGTAGAAGTTGTAGATTTTAATGATCAGATCTACCCACCGTGTTAAACTGACATTCCTTACAGATACCTGAATTGACATAAAATAAGGTTTGCAAATAATCTCAAGGCTGTAACGTACTTGGCTACTGCAAGCAGAACGTGAGGATCATGTTCGCACTTCTTCAAGGCATCCACACTCTTGGTCTTTCTTTGAGGTCTAGATTCAAGGAAAATGGCTTCTGCCCAGAGTATTCCTTAAAAAAAAAAAAAAAAAGATTTAGAATCTGTAATATAAGCAGTATTACAACCCAGTAAAAGAACATGCTTTTCAATACTTCATTGCCACATCTAGTTGAATTTGGTTTGGGGAGCTCATATAATTGAAATACATAGAATACAAATATACAACATTAAAACAATAATAGACAGCATCCACCAATACATCTTCACATACCATCCTAAACACACAACAGTGATAAAAAAATCGAGTTCTTCAGAGCATTGTTAATAAAACTGGACCAATACATCAGATGTCTTCAAATCAATGGTTTAAAATGGCTTAAGATCTATGTTTAAAATATTGAATCCATTAGATTTCAATTGAAATGTTCTCTTGTACATCTATAATTCTAACTCAAGACTCAAGAAGTTCACAAACAGAATCAAAAGGGTCTGAAGGATTTAGACTCCATTCTGCGTGGAGGAATGAATGTTCACAAATTTCTCCTATACAATGCCCTTACCTCATAGCATCATACAGGTATTTACCAGAGGAGGATTTACAAATAATAACTACAGGGGTGTGAATAATTGTGACCCTTGTGCTTTGTAGACTAAAATTATGACAAATATGACTTTGGTTTTTGCAACACTATTAAAAATACCATACAACATTTTCAAAATGTTTTCAGCAAGAAACATTATTCTATCCTTAAACCTTTCTGCTTTCAATATTTATTGTACCTCTTTCATTAGCAAATAAATCTGGGGGACACCATATATTCAAAATACATTTTTATAATTAATAAAGATCATCATCAACATCTTTAAAACCTGTAAATATTGAACATCCTACTAGGGGGCACTACGAGGCTAAAAATACTACACTTTTCTCGGGTAAGGTGTGTTCACAGCATCACTGCAACATATAATTCTTTTTTGCGCTGCAGAAATGTTTTTTCTTCGATTACAGCAGTAAAACTGAGATACTGAATTTAGAACAGGTGACAAGCAATGTTTTTTATACCAACATTTATGAGAAAAACAAATATTACAAAATGAGTGGCTCATGATATGACAATCCAAGTGTTTTTTCTTGCTTTCCATCACAGAGAATAATCTATAAACAAAAGTAAGAAAACTGAAGAAACCACTGTTCCCAGTGCAGCCCAAATTAAAAGGCAAAAAACAGAATGAGTTTAAGGGATGAGCATTTCTTGTGCAAAGACTTCACTTTGCTCCAGGGATTGGAAAAACACAAAGAGCTTCAGAAAACACGCGATTTACTGAAATCCAATATGCTCTTCTTACCCTTATTTCTTGTTCTTAATCTAAATGTAGGCTAGTCCCTTTGTAACCTCATTTCAACTACTAATGCCTTTGCAACTTCTTCATATTCATTAAAAGGTATGATCATTTATGGGAAACTATAAAAGTCTAAAAATAAAAATATTACTAAGCAACACAGGTATCCTTTTCCTTTTCTTCTCCATTACTTGTGTCCATACAGTGAACATTAAGCATTTCTGAAGAAACAATTCAATCTCCCAAATGGGGAATGTAATGGAAAGCATTTATTCTTGATTGGCATAGTAAAACACAATTCATAAGGCCCTGAGCATTTTGCATTCAGGAATAACGTAATTGGCACAGAAATAACCAAGGCAACATCCGCCAAAAAAATTCTCCAACACAGCCTTCACCTACTTAGCTTTTTATCAACATCCACAGCCCACTTACCAGCTCTAGGTTTTTTTTTTATGTCTTACCGCAACAATCCAAAATTTCCCAGAACATTACCCTAGTTATGTTTGGCATCTTAAATCACAAATGCAAGTTTCTGGTAATACACATTTCCATCTTCCAGTTTAAGGCAGAAGCTAACAAATCGTACGGTGAGCTAATTTCAGAATTATTTTTGCAAAACCACAAACACCTCCTACTTAAGCTCATAAATGAAAGTGTCCATGAAGCGTGTGCCAACTATCCTTTGTCAAAGCAGGTCATTGTCTTCAGATTTCATTTCAACTTTGGTAGATCTGCATTACTCTTCATATATTACAGTTACCGAACTATTTACTTTAATTATTCAAAATACGCAAATTCAGCAAATTGTCATTTACTAGGTAGAGATATTCTAACTAGAAAGATTTTTTTGTCCAGATCTTAACTTAGCTCTTAAGACTGGATGGAAATGACTCAGAATTTTTCTCGTTCAAAAACAGAAATAACTACAAGCCTTAATATCCATGGAAGAAAAACAAAAAACAAAAAAACACAAAACAAAGGTGCTTTCTTTGCCTTTTTTTTATCCCTCTGGGGGAGGATCCCAGGACAGCCTAGCGTAGTTCAACTCCTTAATTGTCGTTTGACAACACATAAGACGTACAAAATGAACAGCTTTTGGAACCTGAAAACCTGGCAAGTACTGAGTGCTCAGTCTTTTAAGTCTGTTGAGTTCCACTGGCCTGATCTACAAAATGTCAGGAAATACAGGCTCTGTCTTCTTGAATTCTCAAACCTGGTGTAGTGCCTTTTCCCAGCTGAATTCAAAATGTCTGACTTTGAGAAGTGAAGAAAGTAGAACCTCCTATGTCTTATACAAATACAGAAAATTAAGGTTGTGTGTAATTGTTGCGAATGCAGGACAGATTTTTTCCACCATCTGACAGTAAATGAAAAACAAAAAAGTTTTATAATTTTTTATAATTATAATTCTTTGCAGTCAAAGAGTGAAACTTTGAAGTTTAGGTTATTCATAAACATGCTGGACCTTGCCAACAATAAAACATACCTGGATTTAACCCCAGTTTTTTTAATTTCCCCCAAGAGTCATAAATCTAGCCAATTTCTAACATCCTGTGCCAGGAAAAAGTTCTTCAAGCATTCCATGCCCCACTGCTTCAACTTACACGTCATCTATTGTATAGCATCAATACCCATTTACAGCCTGTCAAGCAAAGACAGAAGGAAACTGCAGATGAAAAACTAACCTGTGTGTACAGGTAGGAAAGTAGCAAGTTTAACAAAGGGGACCAGCTGGGTATCACAGTCAGTAGCTTTATTTTACTACAGTATCCTTTACATTGCCAGAAAGACAAAGTCGAAACAAGAAGCTCTAATGCTCAGCTCCTAAAGATCAGCTGTATCTGCTTGGATAGGAATATTGTTATCCGCTCCTTAACCAAGTTTGGCTATCATCATACATAAAACTGGTACGTCCATCCTGATTTGGATACATCTATTTCTGCTTTTACAGGTACCCAGCTGATATAAACTGATCTATATTTGATCTATACTAATCTTTTACTTCTATGACCTGCTTCTGTCTGGCCCGTTGCTGAGATGAGTCAGTTTACTGTAACATCTTCACCAATTACTTTTTCACACAACCTCACTTAAGTCATTAAATTGAACGTGCTGCTGCGCACACTGGCCTACTCAATATGAACTACTTCTGTCAACTGCCGACTGCTTATCTTTCAAGCAGGACACATCGTTTAGACACAAAAGTTCATCTGCCTGAAACCTCAGTGAGTGAAAGGTGTAAAAAAATACTTCTATATCTCTCGAGTTAGAGTGTGACATCTTTCTAATGAAGGTAAAGAGTAGACAGAGGCTGCTAAGGGCACTTACCGGAATTGGGACACTCCTGTAGAGCCTTGGCCATCAACGTGTTTGAAATGTTCTTGAGTCCTGCCCTGTACTCCAATCTAACAGACTCCAGCCTGAAACATTCACATTACATTAGGTGACATTTCTAATTACCCCTGTTTGCTGATTATTTTTAAGAGCACAAGACAACCAGAGAACCCTCTAAGGTTAAAAAAAATGGACGATGTTAAGGGTAAGATTTTGTCACAAAATATGTACGCTCCATATCACATCACTGCTGGTAGTAAAAATAAACATTTTACTTGCTGGTTGCAATACGGCAGAACAAAACTTTAAGATTATTAAAGATTATTTAAGGTATTTTATATTCAGCCAAGAATAACCGAAAGCACCTTCAAAACCCTTTAGCAGCTGGAAAAGTGAAAAGGGTCAAATCGATCACATGTTTAGTAACATTAAGGGCTTAAGTAACTGATTCCAGATGGAAGGAAGATCAGAGCACACTGGGGACATGAGAATCAGGACCGGGAATCCCTGTTCTAGACCACTAATGTAATGTTACAGATAAGTCCTCAAGCCAATCTCTAAACCTACCACAGCTCTGGGTTCTGAGGGTTCTTCAGCCTGGATTTTTCCAGGATCGCTCTGGCTCGGGTCAGCTGGCCTGCCTTCTCCTCCAGTCTGGAGAGGAGCAGCCATAGGGGAATGGAATGTGGGCATTTCTTCAGCTGGAACACAAGGCAAGGGTTTAAAATCAGCTGGGCCCTTGACTCACTGGTTGTTGCTCACAAAGACTGTTATCAGTAGAGCAAAAAAATCCTGCAACTGCTGATTATACACCCTTTACACAACACAAGCAGTTTAGAAAAGGCCAAGTATAAATTAATAATATAAAATCCCTTAACCAATACCCCGTTAAGCCAATAAAGAGTAAATATCACACGATTTCATTGCCCCCCAAATCTTTTATATAGATTTAACTAAGAAGATTGCCTATATTAACTTATGGTTTGTACCTGCTACACAGAAAACAAGTCAAGATTCCTGTAAAAGTTCCTTTTCTCAAATCTGAAGCTACTCAACTCTTATGTTGTTCATTTTTTAATTCTATACATGAACAACAAAAGTAACTTTCAATGGAACATCAGCTTTTTCTTTACTGCTCCGAGGATTCTTCTGAGCCTCGGCATTTCTATCTACAGATTTCGATCTATCTCCATCTAGCTACAGCCAGGATTGGGGTCACTACAAGACCTTTCCACTCCATTTAGGAGCCTGTAAAAAAAAGCAATTACAAATTCATAGCTGTTATGCATTAGAAGAAGATAATTGTTGTATTTAGCTCCAATCTGAGTTCAATAATTGCAGGTCCTCTCTTTGCCACATTTCCACCCTTCTCCTCCTGCTTACCCCCTGGTTATAGGCCTCCCGGGCCTTGTCCATGCACTGAGACTGCTCTTCTATCTGCCCCTTCATCATCCACAGCTTGGGAAAGTCTTCGTAGTGCTTCAGGGCCTCCACACACAGCTCCTGTGCTGCGGAGATGTTCCCCAGAACCCATTCCAGCTTCACCGACTTCATGAACACCTGGAACACCAGACAAGCTTATTTCTCACACTTCAGAGATAAAGACATTGCAATAAAAGCAGGCAAATGGCAAGACTGAACTCCGACTCAAGTTCAGACAAAACTAAAGGTCCATGTACAAAACAAAACTGTAAAATACGTGTGTAATATGCGTGTAAAATACAACAGAATCTAAAGTACAGTCTAGAAAGTTTTATAAACCAAACTCCACAATGGTTCAAGACCTAGAAACAACAGTAATTAAATTGACCAATCCTGTCTGACTAATTTAATTTAACAAAAACCAGAAGGCGCTGTAGAACAAAAAGTAACTCCAATTGACCAACATTTTCAAGTATTTTCTCTTGGGAAAATCTATTTAAATGTATATATAATGTGAATGTGCATCACTGAAGCAAGAAATAAATGTGGAATTCTGAGACACAAATGGATTTTTCTACATGGGTGCTACAGCAGCGCTTGGAACAGAAATGCACCCATGGTTCCAGCTCGGATACATAAAGGAATTCTGACAGCAAACAAGCTGCTTATTTTTTCTCATTGTAAACCACTTGAAGGAGAAGATAGATTCACAATTTCTACCAGAGCTGCAAGAAGTATTAAAGGAATATCATGCACTTTCACTGCAACAAACATTGTAAAACCCTTCAAGTCCTACCTGTTTTTCTAACAGTGTAGCTATCAGGGCCAGCTGATACAGCTCAAACCCTTATAAAGTGATAAGATGACACTCCTTTGAGGCAAACCAATATTGTGTAAGCTTTCCCTTTTTCACAATATCTGGCTTACAAGCCTTGACTGGAGTTTTCACAGTAGGCAGTTTAAATGCATCATTAAGTTAAGTAAACACAGCTGTAGAGCAGACCTGAGGCTAAAAGAAACAAAAAAAAATCTTTGCTAAGACTATCCAGTTAAATACTTTGCTTTGAAACCGTCAAAAAAGTGATTCCCCAAAATGTTCCTCACGTTTAACTTTTACACGAATTTCATCTTCACTTTTTCAGGTAATAGCTGAAGATTGAGGAGCTGGGAAATCCACCCTCCCAGTACGTTTTACCTTACAGACTAAAGGGTGCTGGGGAGCAGGTTAAAGTTTTTTTACAATTACCTAAATTATTTCAAGGGAACCAGTTCTTATGTTTCAGCGTGAGCTGGGCAACGAAGTATAGCACTCTGCAAAACTGTGATGCCCTGACAACATGAGAGCCCTTTTAACAAATATTAGCACTTAACTGCATGCAGCTCAAGTCAGACCTGCTTCATAAAAATATTAATTTTTCAATAAATATTAATTAGGCATGTCAGCCTTTTAACTTGGCCAGAGTCTTTCCGAACAGCTTCTGGGCATCAACAAATTAATTCCCCTCTCATTTTTTATGTGATCCAATGTCACTGTGAAAAAACAATGAGCCTTTAATTAATAGTAAAGTTCAATTTGTTAAAAAAAAACATCACCATGGGAACCAGGGAAATTATCTAGGTTTTGTTGGCTCTCACTTAAAGGTTGAGAACATTTCAACTTTTCAACCACCCCCGATCTCCAAGATCGCTGGGGGTCTGCCTGCGTGGGGGGCTTCGTCCCGGGCACTCACCCTCGCCGTGGGGGCACTGCTCCGAGCCTTGGCCAGCAGTCTCCTCGCTCTTTCATACTCGTTGTTCTCAGACTCTAGCTTCACGGCAGCCAACCAGATTTCTTCACTGTTTGGATTCGCCTAGGAAAAACAAATAAGCACGGTACTGTTTTAAAACACACAGAATATTATTGATGACGTGGATTCAGAGCCTTTAGGTCAATAATAACAAAAGAAAACAAAATCACCCATAAAAGATTGTATAAGTTGCTGCTGGGGTACTTTGGACAAAAAACAGCGAAGAAATAAACCCCGCTATTGTCACAAAACCCTGTTTTCTGTTGTTACAGGATGTTTAAACCCAACCACCTCTGACTTCACAAAACAAAATGGGTTCAAAACTACACATTTTCCCATGGGAATGTAATGTTCCTAAAGCATGAAGCAGAACTCCACACAGATCCTCCTTTGATTCCATGTACATAACTATTTCACACTGTGAATCTGCACTTCCATATTTTGAAATCGTGAGTTCTCTCTCATTACACAAATTCCCAACCTGAACCAATGTACCACACCTAAAAATACAATGTAGTAATGGCAAAAAGCATGTGAACATCCTTGCACCATTATGGCTGGGATGTAGAATCATCACATCCGAGGGTCACAAGGGATGCTGACGATTTTTGACAGAAGCCAAGATTTTGATTGGATTTTATGTACTGGCAACCTATCCTTTACGGTATATACAATTATATGTATAAGCAGCCTAGGCTTATAAATAAGCTAGAGGGAGAGTGGTGGGTGGCTCAATTGCATCACTTCTTTGTTATAAATTCCCACGTCTCAGTATTCCAGACACCGCATGTTACACGCTTCAGCATATGCCCATAGCTTTGTGCTGCTTATGTCCACAATTCACAGCAAATGGACAAACTAAGGTTGACAGCAGTCATTACCATCGCATACCCGGACCACTAACGATGACCTAGCTGACTCTCTGAACACAAGGCCCCCCCATGATCAGTCAAGTCGCCTGAAAAGGCACTTACCTGGAAAGCCAAAGCCAGAATGCTCCTAGCTGCAGGCACGTCTCCAGCGAGCCATTTTGACTTTGCTCCCATCAACCAAAGGACCTCCGCCTTGGGACAATGAGCCACAGCCCTCTGCAACAGAGCTTCCAGAGATTCCCTGAGAAACACAAAGAGCCACACAGTCCTTTACTCCTCTTCATTAGCAAGCCAGTACTGCAGCTGCTCTCTGCTCTGCAACACACATGGGATCTGAAACTGCGTCAGTCTCCAGTCATGATTTTGTAAGAATAACAATGCTCTGTTGCAACCACGATTAGAAATGAATGACAGTGGGGCAAACAAATTACCCCCTGCATAATTATAGTTAATGTTCAACAGAAAGGATACCCAGACCTTTAAATTGTTATCATGAAGCTTACAAAGAGTGCTGACAAGTAACTAAGTGATGTGCCAGCACTATATATGCAAAAACTGCACATCAAATTTCCTTAATAACCAACAAATTGCTATTCTAATTGCAACAGACAACTAGATCCGGTGCCAAACTACAAGAACAATGATTGATGGGAGGTTACGGTCATGAATAAAAATAAGAAAGCAAGTCATAAAAGCTTAGTAGGATGGGAAGGCTAAAACTAAGATTGAAGAAGGCTTTTTTTCAATATTAATCACAACACAACAGTTATTATTTAAATAGTTTTATGTGAAAATTGATCCCTGTTCAGTGCTGTCAGTAACAGGATGATGAAAGCTGACATCTACAAACCTGGTTCCATGGCTTTTCTCGAAGTAGGCTGCCCTGAGCCACACACTCTTCTTGCTTGGGAAGACTTGCAGGGCGTGTGCATATATGGCTCTTGCACACTCCAGGGCACCATGTGCAATGCACTAAAGAGAGGCAATTAACACAACATCACAAAGTGCTGAGAACTGCCACCACGAAATGCCAAATAAAAGCTATGGCAGAAATTCAGCATTAGAAAATACAAAAATAGGAAACATTAGCTAAAACAGTTACAGATTTGTACCATTTTCATCAACATTAGGCGAACAAAGAATTGTGAACATGCATTCTAAAAATCTACAAGCCCTTAACCCCGTTAGAAATCTTATAAAGTACACTGTATTTAAAGAGTACAGTACACTTTCAGCATCCTCCATCCAGGTGTGCTTGCAGTCCTCCTCTTCAATCCCAATACCAATGACTGCTCTGATGACAGCCTGACAAGTGGCCACGCTGCCTGCCTTGTCACATTCTTCCGCATCCTGAAGAAGAAGAGACAGCATTAACTCTGAGATGCAGCATTTCATTCCCAGCGAAACTGGAAATGTCAAGTGCTTCTCACAGCAACAACTCTGGTACTGCAAAGAGAGAATGAATGGGGACGGACCCACTCCTCTGATCCACCATTGAACTCATCACCTGATATCCTGCAAGCTCTACACAATGCTTACAGCTCAATAGTTCCCTGTAGGAGCTTATGGCTGAATGTGGACAAAAGCATCCATCCCTAACACCATTGCAAATTGGCACCCGGAATCTGCAGGAGTCACGGATAGCTCAGGCAACCCTGGCCAACTAATCCAAAACAAACCTTTCAAACTTTCTGCCAATTGGTGCCACCACTTGGGAAATCCCAGTTAAAGCCAGCTGCTGACATGATTCAAACTCAGACTCACGACATCGGGACTGTACAGAGCTATCTGAGGTCAGATCACTGCAAGAACCATTATTTATGGGGCTGCATAGGTTATTTTAATTTTGCAGTACTCCACAAATACTTGACAATTATTCAGAATTCATTGCAACAATAGCATTAACGCCATTAGAACTATTTGACTAGACATCGACTGAAACAAATACGAAGGAAGGGAAAGCATCTGAGGGAGGCCTTTTGTGCACGATAGCAGGAGATCACGGAGAAAAAAGTATTCTGAGAAGACTCAGATCTCAGGTTCAGTGAAAAACAAAATCTCACCACAGCACATTACATGCTTTATTTTAAAGGATTTTGAAGACTACCATATAATAATTATATACATCCTTGCTATAGCCAAACCTTTATGAGTGGTTTAAACACATCCTTCCAGCTAACCTAACATGGCTGCCAACGGAGAACTTCACCTGAGAAATCTTCAGTATCTACTCTGATTGTAGCACTTTGGATTGTACTGTTATTAACCATTTCACTGTGGAAAGTTGTTGAGCGAAGCTTCTGTAACTGTTTTTTCAATATGTGGTGGTAAGGAAATTGCTCTTACACATCTTAAAAACAGATGGTTGCTATGGCATCAGTGATCAACAATTCCAGTGTCTGTTATCAATAAGAGTAAGCATCTGGCTATAAGTAATGAGCAATATATTCAATAGATCCAAGGGTCACTTTCTCCTAATTCAAACACTCAGGGTCTGATGGAACGTCTGAACACACAAACCCCTACACCCACATGCTCAAGGTGCACCACAGAATTTTATCCTGACTTGTTAAGAGGAGAAAAGGGGGAAATGGACCCTAGAATAATAGACCTGATCATATAAAATTAAATTGCATCACAACATGCTCAAAGTTTTTGCACAAGAAATATCTCTGCTTATTGGGATAATCACAATCACAAAAAAATCACAATGCATTTTTAAATGCTGGAAATTCCTAGCAGCCTATACTTTCTTCAGCAAACATTCATTTTTTATTTCTGTACCACTGTTCTTGGGCAAAGTTAGCATTTACATGATATGTTATATATATTTATGTTTCTATTCCACACCTCTGAAGAACTAAGTCAGAACCACATTCCTTCTCAGAATCCCTTCTTTTATTGGCCTGCGTGACTTTCCCTCATGCTGGTCGAGTTGTCCTTAACTGATGCTCTTCCAGCTGGGTTGCACTTATATAATTACACGACAACTTGGCTCTGCTCTCTCACATGCTGTTCTATTATCCTCATCCAAACTCCAAGTGCAGTGCTACTGCCAAGTTCCAGTCTTACTTAGGATGTCTGAATTTCTTTTAGGGGAAATGTCATAGAACGACAAAAAGATGAAAAATAGTTTCTCTCATGAAGGGGTTGTGCAACACACAAATTAAAATAGTCAAGCTGTGAGTAAGTTCAGTGGAACACCACACACTTCTCACGGAAGCATGCACTCACGGAATACAGCTGAAATATTCCCATTTCCTTATTCTTTTTCTGGGTGTAAAACACAACACAGATTCTGACAGAATTCTGCTTCTTAAACCTATTCTGCTTTTTGGTGGAAGGAGAGAAAAGTGTGAAAACTTTTTTTGAGTTTGAAAGACCTACTGTGACTGAAAAGAGCAGTTGTGCTTTAGACAACACTTTAACTCAATCAAACCTCCTAGCCCAGTTCTCGTCATGCGAGTTAAAATATACATACTGAAGGACGCCCAATACGGCCTAAAGGTAGTCAAGCAGGCCTAAAGGGTGAATAATGACTCCGAAATTACATAATGAGAATTTCCAGTTGGAAGAGTTTATCCTTGGCTTTTGAGCAAGTGACACAGATGTAGTTTATAATTAGAAAATAGCACATAAAAGGCAGATACCAAACTATATCAGACAGCCTACAGAAGGGAGTCTTAACAGAACAAACTTTATATGTACAAAGATATATATAATTAATACTGTTCTTTACATACTTATTTTTTTACTAAAATAGATTAATCCTAGACACCCTTACAATAAGAAAGGTTGTTAAAAGAAGTACAATATCAAAACAAAGTCTCACGATTTTCATTTTTCAGCAACACCACTAACAGAAGCAAAGTATTTAAGAGAAGTGAGAATCCTCACCTGAATCCACTGCTCTCTGTTGATCTCCACTCCATTGGCTCTGAGGGACGTGATGGCTCTGTCAATGATCTTTTCAACCATCTGTGTGTTGCCATTGGCTTCCTCCAGCTTGGCAGCTGTGATCCAGATGTGTCTGTCAGTGGGGATATTTTCACGAGCCTTGTTCAACACACGCCTGGCATTCTCATAGGTCTCCAGCCTGGCAAGGGCCAACCAAAGCTAAAGGAAAAAAGAAAGATAAACCAACAATTTTATCAAATTAAACTTGCGGGGAACAGATGCTTTTCTGAAATTATTCATCATTTTCTTAAAAATTGTTAAATGCGGGTGCAATTTTGTTAATAAACAACAACTTAAATGAAAGGTTCAAGGATTTTTTCACTATCCAGGAATACAATACTAGTTATAAGCCTTCAATGGTTTGTTAAGAATTTATGATAAGTTTAAAACAAGCAGTAAGAGTTTATAACGCACTGTTCTGTCGCTGTAGAATACAATATTATTTTATTAACTACTAAAGAGAAGTACAGAATTACTGTACTTATGGACATTAAGTACTTTCCAATTTTTATCAATGACTATCTAAAACAGACAACAGTTTCTAAGTTGATAACTTTATCTTCAGACTACACTTTATTCAATTTTTAAAAAGGGTAATGGCCTCAGTCTGGGTGATGACAGCAGATCATCACAAAAAGAAAACTGGAAGTTTGGCACTCAGTGACGACCTCGTGCTTTTAAAATATGCGTCAGCAACCTGGAGTCCAGTTTCCCCAAAGTCAGTGCTAGATTAAGTGACGCTAAAAAGATGACTGAACCGCTCTGCCATTAGTTCTTCCTCTCCTTAGCAGTTAAGACTTACACAGCACTCATCAATACTAGGATTCATGGTGCAAAGGAAACAAATATTGAGACACAATGCTGTATGGGGCTCCTTCAAGGTAGGGTGCTATACAGATTGAAGGAATTTAGGGAGGGGTTCTGTTCAAGTCTCCTGTGGTGTTTTTTTTTTGTGGGTGGTTTTTGAAAGTGTCAGTTGAAAGTCTGGCTCTCAGTGAGCTGATGCTGCTCTCGCACCTCCACGCTGGTAGGGCAGCACTCCACAGCCCTGCTGAGCATGATCCTGGCATCTTCGGGCTCTTCCAGCTCCACTGCGGCCTTCCACAATCGCACAGACTTGGACACGTTCTCCAGAGCTGCCGAGAGCACAAAAACAACATTTACAGCAAATGCATTGCCCATACCATTCTGTTATACAAGAAACGTTTCGACAACCTTTTTCTGGGGGATAAACAATTTGGAGACTGAATTCCTTTGAACCTGACAAGAGACATTTAATAACTTTATTCACCCCAAAAGAGGCCCTGGCATCAGGTGGCATCATAATTCTAAGAGGAAAAAAAATAGCAAATGGGATTTCTCTCTCATTCTCCACCTACCGCCTTCTTTTTTTTTTTTACTTACTATCATTGAAAAGTTAAACATGAATGAAGATTAATGTGAATATCTAATGTTACATTCTTTCTGCAGGTCTTTGAAGAATTAGGCTGCTGTATGTGCTTTAATGCCTACCAAGACATCTTTAACCTATAATGGTATTATCTGTGTGGGAAAAGTGTTGAAAGACAAGGCTTTCAAGTGTGCGTCACTTTAACTGTAACCAATTCCAAACTATACTTATATTCTTAACAAGGTGCCAAGACCTACATTTGATTTTAATGCCAGATGCCAAGTAAAATAAGGATGAAATTCCCAGTTTCCTCTCATTTCTGGTTAATCCTCCTTTATCTCTGATTCTCCCCAAAAACTACTCATGATAGTTACCACATCTGGAAGCCCGTGCCATTATTTCTTTAATGATAAAGTTTCAATAAATATTATTTGATTTAGAAAAAATGCGGAAAAGGCATGGCTTCTGTAGAAGTCCAGGCACTAGTGGATGCTGGCAATGTTACTCATAAAAAAAACAGAATGAGATGTGGACTTAGGGCATAAGTTAAATAATTCAAGACTAGTAACTAAACACAACAAAACATTTTAACATTTAGTTCAAACCTAGCGATATCATTTCTGTAACTAAAAAATTGTGTGCAACTCCCTAACAATCTGTGGTGGTGCTGAACCCTTACAAAAGCAAAACACATGTTGAGACTGTTTTAATTAAGATTGGTTACTGGAACGAGCCCATGATTTCCTAATTTTGAGTAGTCAAAGTTCATCAATACAGTGAGGTTCATCAATATTCAGTCTAGACTAAATCCAAGATCCTGTTCTGCACATTATCTGACTTAAAAAAGATAAATACAAATGCATGCATAAATTAACAAGGTCATAAGGGAAAAAAGCACAATTTTAAAACCTCAAACCTGTTGGTGCAAGCAAACTGCTTAATGGAGCATCAGAACAAAGCTTTTAGAAAGAGGAAACAAGACATTAATCTATGTCCCTAACAGGCTTCTTGGAATGGATACTCCGAGCCAAGGAAACCCTACATGAAGAAAGCAGGGGAACCCAAGCCCTGCCTCAGACTAGAGTTTCAGCTTGCTTTCATCTCAACCAAGCGTTTTCTTGACACATCTGCCTCAACCCTCTTGAAGCTGGACTGTGATCATTACCAGCTGTCTTTTATGAAACAGTACACTTTAATAAATGCATCTTAAACAACTTCTCCAGATTTGACCTCAAGTTTGAAGTACTGGCTATATTTTCCATTTTACATGAATATTTGCCAAAAATGTAATTAAGCACTGAATTGTGTTTGCTGCTTGAGATGCCCTGTTTTACACAATTTAACTCACAAAGAATGGTGCAAGCCATCAAAGCACTAAGGTCAATGACATAAGATTTAAATAAGGAACAAGTAATAGATTTATTCCATGCTGAAAAGAGAGGAAAGAAAACGCAACGTTTCGGCCATGGAGCCTTCGTCAGGTGCGAGGAAGACCCTCACACCTGAAGAAGGCTCCAAGGCCGAAACGTTGTGTTTCCTTTCTTTCATAACACAAATTTATAGTTTTAATTCGCATTGCTTCATTTAATTATAAGGAATTTACAAATTATTTTGAACAAATATTATCGAAGAAAATAAAATTGCACGAAGAACAATTTAATCAGTAGAATACTGCTCATCGCCTTTATGCCATTTCGTACATTTCCCACAATACACTGGAATGCCGTGGGTATCAACAAAAGAGATGAGAAATACTATTTATAGTTACAACTTAAGTCATTGAAAATGTTAATAAAGAGTCACAATTATCAGACTGATACTTTATACTCTTACTGCAGAATAGTTTTTGGTCTTTTTAATGTTTTAAACATTTCTAAGAGCTTATTAATACAGATCTAGTAGCAATTCTTCATGGTAAGGGTCATGGCATATCAAAGCCTCTACTGGAAGTACAGGGTGCAAAACAGGACTACACCCGAGTTGGGGCCGCACTTTAATACAGGGTGCGTGCACACAGGGACAATTTATTTAGCCAGCATCTCTCTGGGAAGAAGGAGGAGATTGGAGCACTTCTCAAAAAACCCACAGTCACAGGGAGAAGATCCAAACACCACAAAGAACACGCACCAGTCTGGAAGTGAACCCAGGACCCAAGCATTGTGACAGCTCAGGGCTTACAGCCACATGGCCATACTGCCCTATTGGTACACAGTGCTAAATATGGAAAACTTCACATCTGTCTTTGAGTCTATGACAAACGATGGATTTTTTTATGCTGTGTTTAGAAAATAAACTTCAGAAAAGAAAAACGTGCCTATAATTTTTCCTCCAGTCGCGACAATCACAGCAAATTTCTTGTTGAGATTCAAATCATATTCTTTCAGTTCCTCTGATTTCATAAGACCATCGGATCATTTGCATTGGTGCTCCGGAACAATATTTCATAAACCCATTACATTTCCCTGCTTTCTTTGTGAAGGAAGCTGGGATATTATAGAAATAATAATGCTGCATAATTTTCTACATTTTATGAAAGCGGTAATCTAGTGCCATGGCACGCCTGCATGGTACAAAATAAATCTGTTTTATCTCTGCATCTGCAGTAAACACACAGGCAGTGATTTTCTGTGGTTGCCATGTAATTCTCTGACCGACTGCAGTCTGCTCTGATTCCTGAAACTGCGGAATCATGGAGTCCTGGTAGACCCGATTCTACATTCTACATTCTTTCATGGAGAGATTGTTTATTTGAGAGAGAGAGAGAGAGAATAATAACAGCTAAGTGACTTCTCCGACCCTAAGCCCTTTGCTGATGTATGACAGGTTTATTTCACAATCACATTCTAAAGTAACACTGCTGCACCTCTGAACGCCCCCAAAACACAATGGACCTCAATATTAAAGTCAACAGACACAATCCTGTCATGAATAATCAGGCATAAATTTGTGGGGCTTTCTCACCTTTCCGCAGGACGCGTTTCTTGGCCCGAATGTCTGTCTCCAGCTCAGCTGCACGGATGTAGATGCGGACAGATTGAGGCAAATGCCGGACTGCCTGGGCCACCACTGCTTTGGCGGTGTCTCCTGGCTGTAGTCTTGCTGCCTCCAGCCAGACATCTTCGCTCTGAAATAAAGGGGTTTGACATTTGTGTTTCCTCCCGTCTCTTTTTTTTCTTTTCACCAATACATTGGCCCTATTAGGGCAGATGCAGACCATGATTTATGCTACCTGAAACACAATCTACTTTTAAAGTTCCCAGCCACTGCCTCCCAGATTCAGAAATCTTAGCCCAGAAATCATCTAGCTTGCATGACCCAAACGAGTCCACTGATGAGATTCCCTGGGATCTTTAACAGAGAAGAAACATTTAGGGACTGTTGCGTTGAAATAATAAATTAACCAGACCCCAGATAATAGTCCCACTACAGAATCTAACAAAATAAACCTACCTAAATCCCTCACTGAGCTAAGCAGTCGACTCCATACCATGATTCTTGATATGCTGGACTAAGTGAGTAATTGTTAACTGTGCAGTGACTAAAGATACAAACTGATAGTTTCAAAATGTTATTTGAAATTTATTTAATCTTAATAATAGATTGACTTACACTAACCAAAGTAAATTTATAAAAAAAATTAAAGTACTGTTAAAACCCAAAGGCTTTCTTGGCATTAATTCCTGTTTAAGTAAAGAGCACTGTTAAGCTCTTATACAATTACACAAAGAAATGAATTGATACTGGTGTAATAATTATCAATGCTTTTGAAATAGTATAGAATCAATCTTACATACTGTAATTCACAGCAGCATTAATGCATTATTCGGGTCCTATTTATGGATTTTCATTTTTCATGCATTGTACAATGTTCTTGTACTATCACACTGGAGTGGTTTTCTTTGCAAAACTATCAGTATGGTCAACTGCACATGATGCTAGCAGATTTCCTTTAAAGTACAAGAACCCTGAAGTAATGTGTTGTGTAATGACCCCATACAAGAATAAAAAAAAAAAACTATTTCCAAACTTCCCATGGATGCACAACAAAGAAAATAAATCAGAATATTGATTTAAAGTTAAAAATAAAGCAAGCTATGAAACCGGTAGGACCCCTTACCTTGGGACACATTTCTGTGCCCTTCATGATGAGGTTCCTGGCCACCTGCAACTTGCCTGTTACCTCCTCCAGGCGTGCGGAGGCAATCCAGGCAGGAGGATGATGAGGGTTGGTCTCCCGCACGGATTTCAGCAGTAGGCGAGCCTTCTTGATATCACTGCCAGTAAACACACACAGCCATCAGGAATTAAGATGACAGTGATGAACCCGATCCAGACTTTACTAAGAGGCTAAAAGAAATTGCACAAGCTTTCTGTGAAATGACTGTCGTCATTAAAGCGTGTCAAGCAGACCTTCAAATTTAAAAGTGATTGAATTGTATTAGCAGCCCTGGAAGAGCATGAACTGTTAAGCAATTTTAGTTTTTCATACCAGATACTACCCCCCCCCCCACTCATCTGAAATCTGTCTCTTCAAGAATAAACCTAAAAAAGTATGACATTTATGTTATCTGGAACAACTAGATAAATTATTGGAAATATGTTGATAAAACCTAAATCACAGTTTTTAAAAGCTTGCCATTAACACAAAATAATATTTTAAGCATGACACTATCATTGAAGCAAGTTAGCAAATGTGTAGTAATGGTATAAATAAAAATGCTTTAAACCATCTTTTAATTACTCATTATATTAATTTGGCTTACTTAATATCTCCGCCGTGAGTTGGAATCATTGAGTTCAGATCTGTCAAATAGCCCTTTGGGTCAACAACTGTCTGTCCACTGACAGAATCAGACACCTGCACACACAGGAGAGAGAAATTTCAGGAAATGGCTACCACACAAAGGCAACTGTCCAAAATCACCCATCTCCCACACAGAATTGCTATGAACTCTTTCTTTACAGCTCCAAAATTGAATTTTAAGAAAACTGTGAAATTGAAAAAATGAGCTCCTTCTATACAATGGCATGGTCCTTACATTCCACACTGCTATGGTTGGTAACACAAAATTACTACATGTGAAACACAGACACACAGACATTTTTCTAAGGATATGTAATGAAATTCACCAAATGCAAAAGCAATCAGGTGCATGGCTTTATTAGAAAAACTGGAATCAGTGAGTGTGACTAATTTCCCAAAGAGATGTCATTAAATGTCATAAGAAATGACATAAACCTAAGAAATCAGGAACAAAGAAACAGGAATACTTTCCCACCTGACTAAGTCTCATGTCCATCAGGGTGTTCCTGGCCTGCCCGATCTTCCTCATGTCCAGTTCACCTGTTCCTGGGGTCATCAGGCCAGGGGTCATTGCTCCTGGATAAGGGGTGTTCAGCCCTCCAGAGAAAGGTGTATTTAGCCCTCCAAATTGCTGACAAAAAAATCCAAATAAAAACAAACAGTTTTCTGACTGTTCTTGAAAAACCCTGTCTTCCACTCTTATTTTTGTACTCTCAGCTGGAGGCTTACAGCTGAAGAATAATGAACAGATGCTGAAAAAGAGGGCTAGGAGAACATTAGCTTAAAGTGAGAACATATCTCATGGGGGTTTCTATCACTGAGAGGAAAAATAAAAATGTTCTGCATTCACGCTTCTGTGGGCTATAAAGCTATACATCATTATATATTGTCGGGTGTTTTCTTAAACTGACATCTACTGGTGCATTTTAAAATTACAATGCATCTCTTCTAAATAAACACGGCAGATGCTGGGTGGCTTATCGAAAAAAAAAACATTCAACTACCCTGGTTATTCCTTCTGGAATTACCAAGAATTTTTGACATTACACTTAGCAGTAAATTGATGAATAAATTCACTTTAGATGGCAACCATTTACATAAGAGGCAAAAGGGAAGCTTGTATTATAGTTTATTTATATAATGTTTGTTTCTGAGAATGCACCTTGACGTAAATTTCTGTAAACGTGAATCCACGATGCACTGAACTGCGTATCAAACAAAACAAAGTCATGACAAACTTGGAAAACAGGAAAACAAGCACACTAACCCCTTGCCTGGGGTCCACTGACGTATGGTTTTCTCCCGTCTGGAGGTGCTTGGCAAAGAAGCTGTCTGGTACAGGCGTAAGTTTCTCATAGCGTGGATTCCTCTGGCGTTTATTTCGGGCATCGCCCACTTCTGGAATACTCAGCCATTCTTCTTCAGTGACCTCGGCCAGCTTCCTCTGGAGATGTAGTAATCTTGACTTGTTACACTCATTACAGCACGCCTTCGTGAACACATGCTACTTATAGCATTTAAGTGATCTATTTTTACCACATATATTTATATGACAATGATCTGCATGCTTTTTGGATGTTTTTGAATTACCTAAGGGTAATAATCTTGTTGAAGGAACTTCCCTGTTAGTGAAAGATGTATGTAATACACATTTGCAACAAAAGTAAAGTGGCTGAATTTTGCGGCACATTTATTTCTGGAGGCCTCAGTTAGATTCCAGCTTTGGTCCAAAGACAGACTTACTACACGACAAACAGTAGAGAGAAACATATACCTGTTGTCATTGTATTTCATGTGTAATGAGAATGAAAACCATTTTCTGAAACGCTTATCATTGTACAAACCTTAAGATCAGAAAACTGCTGCTGAATTTTTGGACGCTCCATACGGTATTTCTCAATCTCCTCCTTCTCTCTCTGTTCTCTGTTGAAAACAGAGATCAGACAAGCGATGATAAATCTATTCACTACATCACACAAGGAGCAATGTTGTTTTTTTTATGAAATAATGACGTTTTCATCTATGATGACCCACCTTCTCTCTTTCCTCCTTTCATCCATTCTCTTATCAAGAGCAGCGTAAATTGCATCTGCTTCCTCATCGTCCTTTTCATAGGGCCCACTTGAGAACAGACTACCAGCATAACCATTGAACTGCAGAGATATGAGAAAGGTTGATTAACATGCTTTAAAAACAGCGATTGTACAAAATCATAAAACCGTCAGTTCAAATTAAAGACGCCTCTAGAAAAAATGGCTACAGCCTTGGATGTGCCTGATGATTTCCTCATCATAAAGGCTTATTACCTCATCATAGTTGGTGTCATTGAGATCCTCATCATCATCATCTGCCTGGTTCTTCTTCATCTGATCCCCCACGGTCCTCTTCCCCGGAGGAGCATGGCGATCGTCCACTGGGTCATTGGCATCCCGGGCTGGGCCGATATCAGACCGGGTGGTGAAACCAGTGGCACTGAAAACAACACAACAGCCGTCCGGTCGATAACATAGCACAGAGAATAACTTCGCCATTGTAATCCAAAACACTTGTAGTCTTCCTTTCCGAAAACACAACATCCAAAATGTATACAATTTAATTAAGCTAGGCTACACAAATATAGCCGCATAGACTATTAATATATATAATATGAAATCTTACATTTAACACAAGGTCGCAAAGACGTCTAGAGTCGCAACATCGTCAGTATTTTATAGTTAGAATATCGTCAGTGAAAACATCAAAGCAACCAAAGGTTTATGGTTCTATCGTTAGCTCAGGAACAAACTTTAATTGCAGTACTTTCTGAAAAAAGCCTACTGCAAGTAGCGAGATGGATTTAAATCTTTTCCACAACTTATAACAACTTGACTTGTGTGGCCTTATTTCTAGACAGCTTATCAAACCCCATAATGCTAAAAAACATAAAAGACTAAACTGCATGTTTTTTTTTTTTTTAAGATGCAATGAACGGGGATCACATCTTACCCTCTACCGAGACCAGGCACATATCCCAGGGGTGCTGGCATGCCCAGAAAGGGTTTCTTCTTCTTGTTAAGTGTCCCGGTGAGGCTCGAAGTTGCCCCAGTCCCAGACAGACTGGAGGCTACATTTCCACCTCCACTTCCACTTCCACTTCCACTGCTGCTACCAGCAGCTCCTGCTGATGAACTAGCCATCTTTGATGCGTTTCTAGACGCCGGAGTTGTGGAAACGCTAGCCATTTCTGCGCCACCATTAACCAAAACAACTTCCGGGGTAAAGGTCTAACCTTAACTGCGATTGCGCTGATTTACCACAACAGCTCCCCTACTGGTCGTTTTAAGCCCCTTCTAAATATGGGGGTTTAAACTTTGCCTACATGTTACTCAGTAAAATCTCACAGATTAATAAACACAGTCAAATTGAAGATTTCAGTTGTTGTAAAAAACGTTACTCTTGGTGCAATGTGAAATATAAAGATCAGAACTGCAGGTCAACAGAACCAATGTCAATTTTGTCATATAAAATATAAGTAACAGCAGTTTAACTGGTTTTAAAATGGAAATAGCAATAATTACACTTTATTTTTATCTTCCAATATATTTTATATTTCTTACAGTGAAATGGTATGCCAACAGTTGCGTGTGGTGTTTAATTATTACTATTTGGTTCATCCTGCTTTTTGTACTTAGATTTTGCTTGGTTTTCTGTAGATTAATACTGTATACTGTTACCTGTTACTAATTACAGATTTGGGATTTTGTTTGACCATCTAAACCCCTCTTACTTTACATATTTATACTTTTATTTATTTGTTATAAGTTAATTACATTTTCACAATGATCTTTTTTTTACTATTACTCGTCAGGTGTCTTTAGCCAAACGACTTCTATAGACAGAATACTCAGTTAACAAAATAAAAGGTATATATATAAATCGCATTCATGATATTTATATAATTCTTACAACAAACAATAGACTGAAGATATGGATCTAACTGATGTTTAGCACTCGATTTTAATATCTTATTATTAAAGAGAGTTTTATTTATGACAATCATGTATAGAAATTTTATTTGATGCTAAAACTGGCGTTTCTTACGGGGAACGATCTTTTTGAAAGGAGATACTCGCAACGAAAATAGGTTGAACCTCTTAAGACCTGACCTGCCTGTGAAGTGAGGCTGCCTGATAAAATGGCTACCACGCGTCATCCAGGTGGTCAGATGAAGCACGTTCTCCCATATATGTAAAGCACTGTATAAATGCTATACAGATACTATACAGCTGTTTATCACACAAACACACACAATGTATTAACATTAGAGGGCAGCAGAACAATATAAAATGATCCTTCGTATAGCAGGCCATAATGTTGCATGTTTAAACGGACTAGAATGCTGATTTAAACGAGAGACGGAGAGATAATGAAAATAATTTCCATGTCTGTCAAGCCTATAAACAAAAGGGAGGAAGAGGCCCTTGTTTGATTAAATTATTTGACATGTATTTTGCGGGACTTAATAGATCAGTCTGCAATCTTCGTTCATGGCCAACTCATCAACCAGAATGCCAATCCAAATCTCCGCTGTAATTCCATTTGCTACATGTTGAGTGTTTTGCTGCCCTGCACTGTAATGGAACTAGACACCTTGCTCCACTTTCTAACGATTGCGAGGAGCCTATCTTAATGTCAACGAATATGGCTCAGTTGACAAGGTGTTCAGTTTTATAGACTTTTAGGAGACATTCAGGTAACCTTTGTTCTAGGGGAGATAATTTAATTTCGTGAGTCTATGCCATTACCAATCCAGTGTACAGGATAGACAATGATGTGGATTTCAGAAACAAGATTAGCGTGTGATTGAATTCCATTGTACTTATCGTTCATCCCTCGACAATTTAGTTTCTTGAATTTTCACTAATTTCAGAAAATGAGCGTCTCTCGCATTTAAGAAGGGGCATGCGTTATCTGACAAACTAGGGTGGCTTCTTCTGAAAGTCTCATTTTCTTTGGAATACTCAAATGTCAGTAACCTTTTTTTTGTTCAGTGAGCTTCTATTATTGTGTTCTGAATTCATACCGAAGCTTAACGTTTAAGGATGAATACATTGAAGAATACATTTAAGGAATAATATTTTCCCCCCATAATATATAGTCTGTAATGTTCTTATACTCGTTATATATCCTGGGTAAAGAAAAACACATGTATTTTCTACTTTTAAACATCATTCACATAAATTCTTATTCATGTAGGAGAGATTTATTATTAAAACTCTGATTTTTGCTTAGCAAATTGTTTTTTTATATTGGTTTTACTATAAGCTATAATCCAATGACTATAAAGACAGATGTATTTATAAAGACAGACATATACAGTAAAGCTTTATTCTTTTATAATACATCTATTACAATTTCTGAAAATGTAAATCTTTATAGAAACATTGATATGTTGAATTAATTTGACGTTTCATTTTCAGGTAATAGAAAAAGATTTCTTTGAAGCCATCTGACTTGACTGTGATTCAATATATGGTTTTGACCATAATTTATATGTACATTCATTCCAGAAAGGTATGTAATACTATACTTAAAAATATCTGCTCTGGGACTGGTAATGTACCTGGAACATTTATTATTAATATTTATGATTTATGATTAATGCACACGCTGAAGTTACTTTGTTTTCAGCTGACCTTTGCATTTTTTAAAGGCACTACAGTATGTTCAAAACCCAGTACCCAGAGTTCTGACTAGGTTTCACACTGCCTTCATGTTAAATGTTGAATAGACTTCAAGATATAGTTCTTGCTTTATAGGCCATGCCAGGGAACTTTCCCTTTATTATTTCTACCGTCCTGATGAATTACACCCCTAACTATGTTCTTATGGTGCTCCAAGCAGATTTATTCTTTGCACCCTTAACAAGACTTTGAATCGCAAAATGCTTTGTCCTACTTTGCATCAAGACTATGAAATACTCAGAGCTCATATTAAAACTCACTTGTCTCACACAGTACAGCCTTTTCAAAATATGGTGCCTGTTACACGTCAATATAATACATTTGATTCTTTTGCCTACATTTTACAGTTTGTTGTCCTGTTTTTTGTGTTGCACTTTAAATTTTCTTTTATGAAACAAGATGCTCATATCTAATTAATTTCTTTAGGGGTTTAAGCATTCATTTTTGTGGATTGATCACATCATCGGTAACATCTCAGTCCGACACGGAGTCCAGGAGAGGGAAAGTCTTTCTGTAGACATACTGCAGTGATCCCCAAGAAAAGAAAACCTTGAAGTAACTTTAAAATGTACCATAGTGATGATGCCAGTGATGTTTCGAGTAGTGTAACCATTGCTGCAGCCTCAGAATAACTTACTTCACAATTACTGTTTAATAATACATGTAAACAGAAGCACAAATAAGAAATGGAAGCAATACAAAATACAAATTCCCTATGCCATTTCTGTCTAAGTATGCTATTAAACCTATACTGTATATAGTATAAATGCACAGTATATCATCATCTGCAGTCTTTATTGATTCAGTTCTGGATGGAGATACCACAAAATTCTAAATATATATATATATTACATCTATATGTTGTGTGTGTGTATATAATAGAATCAGAGAAGCCATCAAAATGTGTTGATGCATTTTGATTGGCTGTATCCTTAGTTTTACAATATGATTTTTATAGCCCCTGAATGGGTTATTGCAATATGTCAAAATGAGTTTCTCCTGCTTCGTGTGCACTGCCCTGTCTGAAGCAGCTTGTTATGAAAATATCTCGTCTGCAGCCCAGGAAGGCTTCCTTTAAATTAAATGAATGCAGCACTAAGGGGTGGGAAGCTGGAAGGAGAGAAATGGAAAACTAATCATCTCTTTAGGCCCAGGGGCTCAGACCCTAGAAAAGAACCAAAGTTCTTGCCTGAGGATCTAATAATCCTCTTTGATGTGTTCCAGTGTCATTTTTAGCTTCTGCAATTTGTCTTCTCTAAAACCTTCCCTGAGTATTGCACCTGGAAAAGAGCCTTTGTGGTTCAGTACATTACATTACATAAAGCCCCTAACCTAAGAGAATGCAGTGGCTGGAATAATTGTTAACAACTAGAGATTAGCACAGAGGATTCAAGATAAAAAGATATTCAGTTCTGGTTGACTGCTGTTTTTAACAAACTGCTTTTCACTGTATCTGATTTAATTTAGTTACAGCATTTAAAGAAGGAGGTGAAAAAAGTCATCTGTCTTTATGGAACAAGTAATAGGTTTATTCCATGCTGAAATGGAAAAATGCATTGTCTTATCTTTGATCTAAATAACTTTGAAAGGCTTATCTTTACCAAGAGTATGCATTTTTCACCCTACCTGGTTAGGAAAAATCACTGGGCAGTGATTTTATAAAGAACATGTTAAGTTAAATATGACAAGGGCCGGGAATCTCACTAAGTACAGTATATAATCTAACAATCCTAATATTCACTTTCAAAAAATGCTAGATGTGTAACATAACAGAGGGGCTCAATAGACTAAAGTTTGTTTCAATGTTTATGTCATTGCAGTTTGTGCAGGTTAAGTTAAAATGAAGGTGATTTAACTTGAACCTTCATGATCAATGATTCAATTTAATTCATGCTGACTGAAAGGTTTGGTGGAGTTTAATTATGATTTATTGATCTACCAAGAGGAATGAGTGCACACTACAGTATGGGTATACTTAAAGTTTAAAACTATTGAAAGTAGAGTTCTTAATTGCTCTTTTCTGCCATGTAGAATGCACTTTATTATTTAGCATTATACCTGCATCAAGCTGAAAGATACAAATATAGCCGCTATTCTGACACAAGGATAAAATAGATGGAAATAAATATCTTTGTATCTTTAAAATGTGTTAAATTTTGATAAAGCACCCTCAAACTGCATATATATATATATTACATGTAAAAAAATATAAATTTATTGTTATAAAAGGAAAATAAGCACTTTAAGAAATAATATTTTTTTGTGTAATATAGATTTCATTTGTTAGGAATTGCTGTAGTTGTAAAACAAATGAGAGACATTAAAGCTTAATCAAGGTTCGAGGTCAGCTCACCATGTCACGGGACTATACTGAGGATCACACTGATCCTTACTATATAATGATTACAATCCACCAATTAATCACTGGATGAATCTTTCTACAATGATATAGGTTTCCATCATTCCATCCCAAATGGATGCCTTTTGAGACCAAGTAATGTGTGAAAGGAGATTTCCCAATTGTGGCTCCCCAAGCAAAACAAAAACATCTCCCACTAAATTGTCCGGAGTAATGCCAGATGGGAGCTGGAAAGTGACAAGAGCTATTTAGTCTCGGCAGGAAGCTGTATGTGGCAAGAAGAGCTCTTTGCCTGTCAAATCAGAGCCTCGTGTGAACGAAAACTGCAGGGTAAGCATGAAGCTGTTCTCAGGAAAGAGCTGTCTTTCACTTCTTCTTGGTTAATAATGTCTGACAGGGCGGTCCCTCAACCGCCATATCATAATATCGCAGGAGCTCCATGTGGGTAATTTATTATCCGCTTATTAAAAAAAGTGTGCAATATGTTTATTGACAGAAAACCCATTACATTTATCTTTTTGTTTTTGACAAAAATACATATTTGACAGTGCAAAAGCAATATTGCAGCATCATTAAAGTTTTCATTACTCTCAAGATGAAGAATAGGATTCAAGGTGATTACTTTATGGACTGCTCCCCTTTGTCACAATTCTAAAAGCTCTCAGAGGTCACCTTGGTCTGTGAGGGTAAATGATCCTACTATAGATGCAGCTGTCTGTTGGTCAGAGACTTGGTTAATATTGTATTTAATTTGTATTTTTATTTTAGGTTTTGAAAAACCTCTGATTAGACCTAAACAGAAATCTGACAAATCAGCACTGGGTGCTTCAGAAAAGCGATGATTAAGCACCAAGTCTGCATAGTTGTATGAAATAATAAATGTTGGAGAGAGAAACTGCATGCTCATTTATTAAAATACGTTAAATAGCAATTTTGGCTCTAAAATACCAGAAAGACAGACAAATGCATTATATCAACAGCCAACCTAGGTTTTGAAAATACTATTTCCATTGAGCTTTTTTGGTGAAGAAAAATGCTTTGTAGTGCACACATTTTTATAGGTGAATACCTTGATTATAGGCCTCTCTGCCTATATTATGGTATGAGCAGGGATGGCTTTTTAATTGAGTCTACATTGGGGTTTCACAGTTCAAAAGTGACTAAGGTCTGTTCAACTTTAGCATTAGTCCCTGGATAAAGCACTTGGATTTCAGGCCATTCTGATGCCATTCTGACAGGTAACATCTCATCTTGCTGTGCAAATCATTTTTACTGCAAGCCATGCTTTTGTGGGGTGTTAATGACATTTCTAGAGGTACAAGCAGGTAACTTTTTTATACTCCATTATTTAACATCTAACACTGAGTCTTCAAACCTGTGTAGGCCTGGGCCTTTATAGAAAGAATGGCCAGAGGCACTTCTTTTGTTTTTCATTCTCCTACTGCTTTGATCTGCTCCTAACTCACCGTTCCCTCTGAGAAAACTGCATGTGTAATGGTTCCTAAATCTAAGATCTGAAATATTCAGTGATGGGTGACCCATTTTAGAGAGATAGAAAATCCTCACCAGATTTATTTTTAAAACTAATTTTCTGACACTGTCAGTTGATTGTCTTTGTAATTTTGTTTTAGTACGTACCTGGCTGTTAAAATAAATCTGATTACAGAGCTGATATTGGCACAATACACTATAACTACATTGTACTGCCAAGCTAAATGTCATTATTTGCTTTAATGTCAATTTAAAACATAAAAATATGTTAATTTCTCTATAACGTTAAGTACAGTAGATTGAATAGATTGACTCTGTCAGTCATGGATTCAATCGAGCTGGATCAAAATTCTGAAAAGATGGCATTCTTCAATTACTTAGGAGCTGGAGCAGATTTGTGGAGAATGGTGTCAGAAAATATCCCCAGGGCAAGAGCAAAAACAAATGCTTGAACGAGACGTAATGTTGTCTGCCAAATCATCTTGGCTGTAACTGCACACACACACAAAAATGTTTCTCGTTTCCCACACTGTCAGTTTCAAGAATGTGCTTTATAAATGTGTCTTGGTATGACATCCTTGTGGTAAAAAGGCAAAGAAGAAATTCCATTCGTTTAAATGAACAGAGAAGGTCTGCATGTATTTGAATTACTGAAGGAATTATGGGTAAAAAATCTGTTTCTCTGCGTTGCTGATCTTTAGTTATATAATGAATTAAAATAGATCCCAGCGAAACCCTTCCATTAGGTGGTGAGCTGAGATCTGTTAAACCTGTTAATGATGACCTAATACTGTTAGGTGCCCAACCTTTAACGCACATTATTATATCTGAAATATACTGCCACTTGTTCCTTAGATGATGACAGCCACTGATAAGATCTGCCATTGAAATACATTTTCATGACTCTAGCATGCTCTAGCACTCCAGAAAATAAAGACTTTACGAGCAGTAGTGCTTCTTGGTCTATTGTCAAGGGGTATAACAGATCTGGAACTTCCTCTGGGTATGGTTTGCGTTCACCTAATCCAGTGTTGGATCATTGCCTTCAAATAAGCAGCATACAGACCATGCTGGGCTCTCTGCAATCTGTGTGACAGATAAACAGAGGGTGTATTTGAAATGAGTGTGAAGTTGGCTCCATCAAAGGAGTGAAAATCAGGAAAGCTGAGCATGACATATTCTAACCTCAGAAACAACTGGCTGGAAACGTGACTGCCAAATCAGGCTTTCTACTGAATGTGTAAAATGTAAAATAAGATCAATGGCTTTAGTATGTCCTGTTGAATACAGTGCTTTCCGCATTTTAATGTTGCCATGGAAATACAAGTCCCAGGCATGAACTGTGAGCCTATAAAGGAACACAATGCAGTAAAATTTTAATTACTGGCTTGGGTGAAACAATCTGTTTGACTTGTGTTAAAAGTTCCGTTAAACACCATTTATTTTTTATCTGTCCAATGCGACTGGTGGTCACACATATCAATGGACTTAAAAAACTCTGTTTCATGTGGATATTCGTTGCATTTACATAATTAGTGCTGCACACTTCCGCACAAGGATTAGTTTTGCAACTATGGGTGTTTAATTTAAGCAAGGTGAATTTACCTCTTTGTTGGCATTTGCCTTGTAATATACATCAGTTTCTCTAAATTGATTTTCTAATGACCAAATGAAACAAGACAAGAAAAACACTGCTATGCTGGCTGAGAATCTGTTAGCTGTTGCTAAATTCTTTTAAAGTGCCTTTCCCCATCTGCCCACCTTCATAGAAATCTCTTTCATATTTGCACATGTGAGAGTTACCTCTAGCACAGTTATAGTCTGTAATCACATGGTTTCCAAAGCATCCAAAAATAGCTCTGATTGGATAGCAATGAGCTTACAGTATTCAGGGAGATGAGAATGAACAATGGTATGCATGAATTCCCAAACCAGTGTCTACCTGGGACACACAGTGTTTCTGGATTTCTGCAGTTGTGAACCTGTCTCCTACTCGTTGCTTTGATGTCCCACACGGTTGCCCCTTAAGGAGGTACGGGGGAGGGGAAGGATTAAAAGAAGATCCTTTATCTCAGAAGAAGAAAAAGCATGGTGTTCCGTAAAAATAAGCTCACAACCAACATGCAGTGGAATTTATATTTGTATTCCTTATTCATGTATAATTGCAATTTGGACCTTGAAATATTAGTATTCAACCAAGGTTCTAATTTGTTTAATTTGTAAGATAACATACTGTAAAGCAGCACGTAGATAATCAAATTCTTCAGACAGCGAATCACAGACAATGTGCTTTTTATGTGCTTGTGACTTACTCCCCTGACTCCATTTTACATTTTACTTTCCAATATGTTCCCCAGGCTCAATTAAAACTCCCAGCATTCATGTTTAATTCACCAATATTTAATATTCGTCAAGTAACAGAACATTGTGTGATGGAATTAAAAATTAAAAACAATTCAATTTGTCAAAGTTTTGCAGAAGGCACATATATATCTTTTTCTGATGTATTAATTCACACCAGAATCTGTGGCCTTCAAACAACGTAATTCAAACACATGTAAAAGTATTTCGGATTTAGTGATTGTGAAGCACACTAGCAGTCCATTAACTAAGAAGGACCCAAGAAAATGATTATCTTAAAATTAGAAGTAGTAAAATCGTTAAAAATAAGTCTAACGACCTACGTTAGAAGGACACATATTCACAATTTAAAGTATGTCGTTTTCTATTACATGAAACCGTCCATAGATAATGTGAGTCCTGGACGACTAAACTATAATAATTCTGAAAAATGCTTACAGTGCACAGTTTTTTTCTCTGAATTTGAAGTCCAGAAAATATAGTAAAAGCATCGAGAAGATGATAAAAAACTACTTAAATATTTATTGTGACAGATTGTTTAAACAACAATTGCGAAAAAGATTTGATTTCAAGATCGGCCTGTACAAATTCATAGCGCGTACTGAAATGTGATTTTATGGGATATTTTTGTATGTCTTGACACATCCCACACGCTACTGTATGCAGACCTTTCTATCAGTCGAAACATTGGAGAGAACGGAACTCCACTAACTAGGAATATTTGCCACGGATAAACTCTAAATCTTTGCACGACTAGCGCCTTCTTGCTTTTGGCTGCGGATACAGCAGCGTTCTGTTTGCTTATGCCTCCTTGACGCGTTGATGTGTTTCGCTCAAAAAAACAAAATCTACAAATCGGGTAGCCGGCAAGATGACCACTGGGCACCGGTTTAGACGGACAGGTATTTAGGGCGGAGTTACATTCATGTATTTCCGTCTGGCTGGGGGTGTAAAAAAAGGAAAGGGGAGCTGGAAAGGCAGGAGAGATCAATCAGTCTGGGAATAGGGAACCGGGGAGCAGCACCGACCTGGTCAGAGCCGTCACAGCGGAGTGCTGCGCTCTTATCTAGTCATAACCGGCTCAGCTCCGGAGCCGCTACAGCATGGGAGATAGCTGAACAAACACGGCTACAAAGACAGGGCGATACCTACAATGGCTGTGGACGGTAAGAAACTCGACCGTGGCTTTTAAGATGTAAAACATTTTTCATTTTAAAAATTAGGGGGGGGGGACCAGACTGATTTGCAATGTTTTGAGTTAGGACATCGTGGAAGAAGCTCACACACAGCGATAAATTATCAGATATGGTATGTATATAATCGCTAGGTGTTTTGTTTGATGTAATTGTTAAGGTATAATTACATGTATTGTTCAATAACTTTACTCAGTATTTTATTTTTCTTTCTCAAAGGTTTTGTGTTAAGAACTAATTAGTACTATACGCTCTGGCCCCAGACTGGGCTGGAAAAGTTGAACCGTTTGTTTTGCATCCGATTGTGCTAGTGTCAGTTTTCGTACTAACCACGCTGAAGTGCCCGTTTATAACGCATTTCACCTCCATTTGCTGTTATTAACCACGAAGGTTCACAGTGACTTGGCTGTTCTCGCAAAGTTCTTTTATAATCTGCTTTGGCGGGGTACGTTATGAAATTCACGCGTAGCTTTTCAGAAAAACTGTACTGGCAATGTTCGTCTGCGATTTAGTTTTCTATAAACTCATAACCAAAGTGCGTGATGGTACAGTAGCTACATAGTAGCATACAAATAACTCCGACACAAATGACTACAGTATGTATACAGCACATACTGTAGCAAGTATTAGACGTCAGCTAATGTTTCTCTTAGTACCAGTAGTTTACATAAATATTCCTGCAACCATAACATTAATCTCACGGGAGTGGATTAATAAAGGTTATTTTAAACCATACCCTTTTTAAACATGGCATATATATATATAAATATGATATTTACATTAAACGGCCATTTACAGTGACCGGCGGTTCACTTATCATAACGTAAAGTCTTTGACTGTTGAGAATTTCTTGGCTGAACGGCTGACCGAGCTATTACTTAACCTGCTGGGACTTTGCGGTTTTTAAACAACACAACCAAGCAGACTTCGTAACCCAAGAAAAACGTGGAGAGGGAGCTATAAATTGGCTCAAAGCGAAATCCGTAGCGATCTACTGTGGTGCTGAAAAGGAAAGCGAAAACAAAGCCGAACTTTCCCACGGGGTTTCTTCAATGAAATATCCATATGCTGTTTGTGGGTGTTTCACGCATCACAGTGTCTCAGTTTTTCTGCCTTTGAAGTTCTTTAGTAAACATATCCCTTGTCAAATGTAATAGCTGCCTTTTTAAAACCATTATTTGCTTATAAGGCACCCTTATCCAAGGAGACGTACAATATCTTCACATTCAAAGCGTTTTTTTTATAGTAGGCCTATAACAAATGTTAAACCCTCTTCACAGGTATTAATCTGACCTTATTTGGGCAGCCACATGTAGTTTCATATTATTTATTGTTTTAGTTGTACAGTAAGATAATGATGCCAATACCGATCTGTAAAAATTGCAACCTTCTTTGAAGAATATTTTTAAAACACTAAGTTCAAAGATGAGTACACAAATTTGTATATCTGAATTGTTCTTTATTTTGTATTCACATACGCATTTAAAACCCAAAACGTTATCCTTTTAATTGGTAATCATTTTCATATAATTACAAATAACATTCCCAGCTGTCGGTGGGTTTGCCAAACTGCAAATGTGTGTTCTATTAACTCTCGATGTGCAGATAATAGCCTGTACCAAAGTGACATTGTTACCACACAATCTTTTCTTTACACGTAGAAAGAACTGGAAGGTTGCCGAGGACTCAGTTAACGGGAAAATATTTGACGCAAGGACGTTATCTAATCAAAATGAAAAGTTTGCTTAAGGTCACAAGGCTGCGCTAATTCCCGAGTGCCTGGTGGAGTCGGACAAAATATCCTTCCAGTTGACATGAAAGTAAATAATTCCAGAAAGGCATACATACTGTACAATAAAAACATTACCGTATTTTTTATTTACCTTGGAACAGAGAGTTTACGGGGAAACATTACTCTCTCCATAATATACGTTCAATAATAAACTAGAATTCGGCTAAATAAGGGAGGAAAAAGTGGGGCTGGATGTACGTCTTAGACACCGATGAAAGGAGACGTCCAACAGCTCGTCGGGACAGAGCTCATCCTTGTTTTCGTAGCGTTAAACTGGACTAGAAAGGACATGACATCCACCTTTGAGGGGACACCAGCCCAGGACATGTCTTACCCTCTAGCGATGCCGATCCACGCATATATAGTTGGTTGGACAGTAACAACTGCGGTGACGGTGACAACCTGTCAGTAATGCGTTCACAGGTTTGATCACAATATTTAGCTTCTTCCTAATTCCCACCATGTCCCTAATCCATTTGTTAATATTAAGCAACAGTTAAAAATTATTGTATTTATGCTCTGCTTTAATTAACCAGTCACTAGCTAATGTTCACTTCTTAGGCACAGTACATAAAATATAAAAATCTAAATCTAATAAGCACAGCTTATAGATGGTTTAGTTCAGTCCCATTCAGTATATTATGGCTCATTTTTCATATTGCTGTGTAAGAAATACCTGCAAACCTTATTTTATTGTTATTTTTGGTCTATTGTATTACAGTTAAAATACTGAGGTTCATTTGTAGGTAGAAAAAACTATTGTCAGAGACTCCAAAAGACTCTGCTGCACTGTCTAGTTTCCAATACTGTATGTAGAGGGTTTCATGAGACTGATATATTCAAATGACAAGGAGTGTAAAGAGAGTAAAAGTATGTATCTTTTTTAAGAGAGGCTTGGAATATCCATGCCTCTGTTATTAATTCTTTATAACAAGTGGCTGTCCATGAATTATTCATACTCAACAAGGAAAACAATATTGATTATTTATGGGATATGTCCTAAAAGCACAATGTCCTTTGAATACTACACTTTGAATTTGTGTGATAGGAACTTGATTAATAATGATGTGATATTTGTATATAATTATATCAGAATTTCAGACACTTTGCTATTCTTATTTGTTACAGCATAAAGATACTGACCCAATGGCTGTGATTTTGAGTAGCTGGAAGGGTGGTATATTTGTAATCATATGGTACATATTTGGTGGGTGTTAAATTGAAATGTCTCTCTAATAAAAATGAGTTGACCCAATAAAACTAAGAAACCTTCCTTTCTGTGCAATGTTGAGGGAGTTTCAGAAAAGAGAACCTTCAGAAAAGGGTACAGTAGCTCAAGCAATGATTCATTTTTTAGAAGCGTGCTCCTGTTCATAGTTTTACAAACGAGCGATATTATATCCACAGACTAATTATGCTGTGTGAGTTAAGTGCTTGAAGGACAGCCTGCAGGACAATGGCAGTGTTTCTCAGTCATCCTGTGTTATCCTGACTCTTAATAGTACCAAAACACTGCAGGCTGAACAGTGTTTTCTTTTAAAACAGAACTTTGCACTTGCTTTCTCACTGACAGTGGGATGCTTCGTGTCCCATTTGGTTGAAGCCCCAAAAGGTGTCTTTTGCTTTGAAATTGGATTCCTCTCCCTGCAGGCATTGCTGTTGGATCTTTGAGCATTTGGCCCATTCTCTTTTGTTTGTGAGCTGTGCTTCCTTACACTAAGCCATCTTGCTTCCACAAGAACTCATGATTTAAAAGCTGCAACACTCTTATGGACTAAACAATGCATAATGCTTGGTTTTAGCCCCGACTTCAGAATAAGATTACAGAGGCCCAGCCTTTTTTGTCTGGGGGCCTTTATCATCGGCTAGAAGGAATGTTACTGTAATCCATGTCCTGTTGTGCCTGGTTTCCATTTACACCCTACAACCTTGTCAGAATTATCTAATCATGCATTTTATTTATAGAAATGTAATGGTATTATAAAACACCTCTGTGTTCTGCAGATCAAGTTGGAATAAACTAGACCACACCATGTGCTACCTCTCTCTCAGATCTTGTAGTAATAGTATCCATATCTTGACCATTCCAACTGCTAGATCTCAATTCCCCATCCCAGTAGCTTCATAAAAATCCTGCACTCGCAGATTTACAGCATCACTTTTTTCCCATTTATGAACATCTTGAAAAATACAGCACTCTTCATCTTTGTCAGCACCTATAATAGTGCTGCCATGCGTGATGACATATCAAGAGATAAACTCTGTTTTCAGTCACACATACTTCTGCTTAATACATCTGTGGATCCTTGAAGAAATGAAGAGATGTTTTGATGGAGTGTCTGAAATTATTATTGATATTAATTCCATCTGGAACAGTTTAGCCATTCTTCTTATTCAGCTGAACATTTTTTAAATGCTTTGATGGGGATGCTCAGAAAAAGGAAAGATTTGCAAAGGACGGAAAGCTGACTGCAGCTTAAACACCTTGAAGTGGCTGATATAGATTGGTGGAACTATCTGAACAGTGCATGATCCTTACAATCTGAGAGCTGGTTTCTCTATGTCATGCAATGCAGTTACATGGTTTTCTCATAAACTGAGTTGCCTTTTTAGAGTCCTGGGCATAGAAATGTTTGTGCAGTAGGTTAATACATATTTTCCCTTCTCGGTTTAATACAAAAAACTCTTTACATAAAGGTGTGATAGATAAATTCTTGTGTCTTTGTGGTACAGAGTGCGCTACTGATAAACATTTGCCGCTTGCTCTCTGTGGCTTAAATACATTGATTAAACACGAGAGGGGAAAAATCAATACACTATAAATCAACTTAATTCTCAAGAGACTGCATTTAGCTTCTGTTAAAGAATTAAGGGCTGCCAAAAGGAGCAGAGTGATCATTGATTTAACCAATGTAGTCTCTCTTTAGTTAAGGTATTAACAGTGCACAATGGTTGAGTTTTGAATAATTACTTGAAAAAACACTGTGCTGCCTAAGCTCCAGATTTTCAACTGAGTGCTGCAGCCTCTTAATTCCACTTCACTAATCCCATTTAGGATTTGAGTATCTCTTCTTTACTTTCCCATTGCATTATGAAACTCTCAAGGCCATGAGCAACATCACTTCTTCAATTAGATATGCGACAAGTAGGAAAGAAGGGAAAAATGTTGAACGAGTGATGC